TGATCGCTGAAACAACATCATCGACTCAGCTACCCGGCGTCGCGCACCCATCCACGATCACTCCAGACTGACGCCGGCTTCTATACGAGCGCGCCCACACCCCACGACATTTCGCAACATTCACAGTACACGATGCGCTAGTCGACAGCGCCCCAACCTCGCTTTCTTTTACCTGCTGCGTCCGACCAGCGCCCTTTCACCACCCGCTGCGCCCTGTGCTACCTGTGCGCATCCATTGTTACGCCAACAACATCCACTTCATGGTCGCGCGCCACTCCTCAACAGCGCATTTCACCATCCGTTCCACCGCCAGCCCTCTGAACCCGGCCCCAGGCACTCCGACTCGATCGTCCTCCTGCACATCCCACGCTCGACACATCCGCGAAAACATCACGGAAATCTGGATTGGCCAGGCATATCAGGTGAAGGCTAGAAGCGCGTAGAGTGGGTGCGCAGACGGCGCCCCAGGGTCGCGGGACGGAGGACGACGTAGTATGCCAGGCATTCTCACCATGAACCACACCGGGTCAGACTTAGCGACGGCTTCACGCGATGCAGATGGCAGAAAGCGCAACCACGACGCTGACATGACCAACGGAGGACTCAATGGGACGCGAAGCGACACGCCGGCACGAGGACCTGCCACTAATGGAGGTTCCTCGAAAGACACCAATACTAACGGCGCGTCCATGGCATTAGCAACGACGACAGGCTCCACGCTCGGACACTACTCAGATCTGCCACCGGAAATCGCCCACATTGGCCCTGAGCAGTACAACTCCCTCTCAACGTTGTTGTTGCGGATATCGCAGGAATCTTATAATGAGCTCGAGGAAGTATTGAAGAACATGGCCGCTGTCCAACTGGCTCCAGTAACCAATGGCGTTCTTCCCAATGGACTTGGTGCGGCAAACATGCAAGGGAACGCAGACGCAAACAGGCGTAAGAAGCTGGTTCTCCTTTCATTCGCCCAAGAGCAGCGGGCAAAGTTCATCAAGCTGCTGGTCCTTACGGAGTGGGGAAAGAAAGCTTCGTCTGACATTTCCAAGCTTATTGACTTGCTGGCCCACGCGAGTACGCAGGCAGCCCACATGGATGCCGCTGACTACAAATTGGAGAGAATCAAAGTTCTCTCTAACAACGCAAGGGAGAACAACCCGGATATTGCGACAGCTTTGGAGGTATTGTCAACCGGCAAAGCGTCGTGGATGCCGAGCCTTGACTACATACCGCCTGAGCCCATCTCTGCTGAGCAAGCTCTCAAATTGCTACGCTACTTGAACACTTCCCTCTCGATACGTCTGAACGTGCACGAAACCCTTCCACGGCATCTTCAAAACTGGCGCGTGCATTCTGGACGCGCGACCTTTGTCATCGACAACGAGTTGGAGTTCGACGTCATGTCCTTTGTGGAGGATGCCTCGGAACAGTGGTTCCTCATCGATGTCCGGCTACTATTCAACCCAGCGCCCACGATCACCGTCGGTAGCCGCTTCTTCATGCAGCTTAAGCTGCAGGCCGACCTAGTCTTAAAAGACAAGGGTCTAACTGGTCTTTTCGACTTCTTGAATAATTTCATTCTGACACACAAAATTTCTGTACTTCGATCACAAGCAGTAGGCCTCATCCGCACCGGCTGGGCAGGCTCTCTCAAGGTTGAGCCTGTGCATCGCTTGCTCGTAGTGTCATACTGGACCAACAAGCCTGGGAAGAAAAACTGGATCGAGATCGGTGTATCTAATAACAAGCCAAAGAACGGCAAGGTCTCATGGAGAGGACCACCCATCCCGTCACTGACAACACGCTGGTTTCGTCAAGGCAAGGAAGTGAAAAACCTCAAGTTCCAGTTCAATTGGAAGGATCTGTCCATGGAACGCGTTCTCAAGCAAGTCATCGCATGCCATGCGAGCGAGATTCTGCGTTCTACGAAGAACAGTTTTAAATCCGGGGTGATAGCGAATGCACGACTTTCCGAGACCGAACCTGGGGATTGCACACTTGATGCAACACTGGGTGCTACGTCTACTTCCGTCACACTGTCACTAGAGCAAGTCACCGGCAGCTACATTTTACGACCAGCTAGCGCACTATCTGCGCGGGCGGAGAGCGCTTTTAATCAAGGCAGGGAGCCTGGACAAATCGCCAATGTAATGACGCAAGTACTCGCCGGTACACTACTCAGTCTGATCCAGAAGAACGCACAACAACTCGGCTGGCAATCAGTAGCGAGGCAAGCTTTACATCAACAGGTAGTGTCGGCTGCTGTCAGGTTGGACGTTATTTCATCCACCCTGTATTGCCCTCGCGGTTGGACGCCAAGCTGGGCACTGGCAGCGGTGATCGACTCGTCTGGTGAGTCGTGGTGGATCTTCGAAATCGGATCTGGCGGAGGCAGCATAGAGTATGCTGAGCAGATCAGAATGGATAGACCTGACAGAAGCTCCTTGCCCATCAACCGCAACACCTTGGCAAGTCTCGAAAGAATCGCCGTGCAGCTGCTGTCATTCCGTGTCACAGCTCGGCAACTTGAGAAGCAGAAAAAGAACTATAGCTTGAAGTATGAGCTAGGGCCCTCTTTGGAAGCTTATCGCATCGCCCGTCGGTGGGTCCTGCATGTGCAAACTGCGGATCTTCTCGCGGCTCAAGCAGGGCAAGACGCATGGCTCGAATCAGACATCAGGATCACCTGCGAAGGCATGAAAGTCGGAGGTCAGAACGTATGGCACATGGCTGCCGGTAGGATGATTAAGACTGTTGCTGCAGATATGCACAAGCTCATGGCAGCTTCACCGCAACATGCTTTCAAATTCTCGGAGGATGGTAACTTTAGGATCCTCCTTGCCACGCCCTTTGGGCAGGATATACTCGGAGAGTTGCGAGCACGACTGCGAGATGTCAATCGTCTTCGTACCTTTGCAACTACTCTGCAGAAACGCAAGATGTTGCTCAAATCCTCCTCCTTACAACGCGTACAGTTTCAATACGGTCCATCGCCGTATTCTGCCACCGTCAATTTTGGTTCCGAAAAGGAGCTCACTATCGAACTATCACCCAGCAACCCTCACCATCGAATACTCTCTCAACTCACCGAGATTGCTAATGATCGGTCGCCATCCTTACCAGTCATTGATCTCGGTGACGCCAATGGTCTAGACCGTTTCTGTACGATACTCGTTGCCACGCGACCTCTCTTCAAGGTCCTGCGTGAAGTCGAGCAACGATCGCCAGGCAACTACAGCAACCCCGCAATCCATGTCCACACCATCTTCAAATATCGTCTTACGTATGACAATCCCGTCTGCACGTTCGATGTGCGTCTCCAACCCAAAGACGACAACGTGTATTGGTTCGTCGAGGACAACTTGCGCCCAAAGGATCCCAACGTATTGCCAACTCCCGAGCGTGCACCGGGTCATAGACGTCTTGACAACCTACAGGCTAAGCTGAAGGAGCTGTTCAGTAGGAAGGGTAATGGGTGGTTTGGTACCCGCAATGGTATAGTGGCGGAATTGGATGCGATTCCTAGAGCCATCGAAGAGCTTGATAAATGTGTCTTGAGCTGTAGAATGGCTGATGGTTACGTTGCGCCTCCACCACTTGAAAAAGCCGCACAGCAAGGTCTAAATCAGACAAATGGGGGTCAGCAGGGGAACCAACAACAGCAACAAGCCAGGATGCAACAACAGGCACGCCAACAGCAGCAGCAGCAGCAACAACAACAACAGAGGCAGGGCCAATCAGGGAAACAGCACCTGAACCAGCAGCAACATCCGAGAGGCCAACAACCGAACGGCAGACCGGCTCAACAACAAATGCCCAGTGGGCGCCAGCAAACTTTGCAGCAGCAACAACAGCAAGGCCGAGGCGGTCCAGGAGGTCGTCCAGGGCAGTCTAAAAACGACGTCATCACTATCGATTAGTGGTTGAGACGCTGGCTACTGCGACATCTCTCACTGCATTCAACCATGAATATCTTCCATATTCATGTATGTACCATGTTTCTCTTTCACGTTTTCACATCTCTTGCATTGGGTTAGCGGGACTGCGGTATAATTTGCATTTCTAACATGCCTTTTTGTTTTGTGGTTTGTTCAGGGTTTCCTGATGTCGTGTACACCACACCTGATTTGGATGCGCCATTGATGCATTCATCTACACTTCGTTCCTCTTTTTTCGTACTTTGTATGATACTATTTATACCAATTCCCTGCGGTGGGAAGACCAAGGCACGGGATATACGCACGGAGTTATGTTACCTTCTAGAGTGGTACTAGCAACTGCTTCAATAAATGATTGATAACTAGGTATTATGTGTTACAACCCAGAGACGGCCTATTACACCATGTTTCAACTGTTCTTGCGTGCCTTGGCACAATTACATTTCCTCAATGTATAGCATAGAATATATATCGACCATGCAAATTACAAGACATGTTACGCAATCATAATCTTTCTGGAGATACACAATTTCCTTGTTCTACTAGTCTCGACCAGCAACATAGCTCCCACTAACAAAGACGATAAAATGCGAATAGACGACTCATAGTTCCCCGTTTAGTCCCACGTGTAGCTAAACCACGCTTTCTTTCTGGCAAGCGGTTTGTAGGAGTGCTTCAAAACTGTATCCCTTAGATGCCGCAAGTATAACGCATTAACACCCCAGTCCACGGTAAGCATTCACCCTGCATAACCAAGGATAGGAACCAAGATTCGCCATGGTCAGCTGTATTGCTAGTGGACCTCTTGCCGCTCTCTCACTCCTCTCTTACCCCAAGATGCCGTGGTGGGTGTCGCCTTTACTTGTCCGTAGTTACTCCTTTGACCCGAAGCGTTAGCACTACCTGGTCATATAAACCAGCAACCAATCCCTCTCTCTCTCTCTCTCTCTACATGTGTCTCGCTTCCCCAAAGCTCGAGTATAATAACCGAGTTTGGTCGTCTGTAGACACCTGACGCAGATTATCGACATTTGTTGGCTTAAGATCACCGGATTAAGCACGATGCCTGTTGCTGTAAGCTCCACCAGCGCCGCTGATACTGGTGAGCTAGTACGTCAGACGTCCGCAATGGAGATTAATGCACAGCCATGGTTAGAGAGCACCCACGAGGTATTTGATTCATTCTCTGATGTGTTCTATTTGGCTAATAGCGTCAGCTTCATAAGATTCAGACGCTGAAAGAGATTTCCCTCGGCAACTGTCGTCTTCTTTACGGCAGCGAGCGATTCAAGTTCTACGGTAGAGCCCTCGTACCAATGCTGAACACCGGAATTGACACGAGGCTAGATATCGTCATCTGCGAGGATGAAGGCACCAAAAGATTCGCTGCTATTCTAACATGCAATCAAGACGGCCAGACAAAGCTGTTGCGCACCGAGTTGAGCGCGTGCCCTATCGTAGCGGTTCGCACTCTGGTAGATGGTCTTCAAAAAGACACAGCCAAGCTATTTCGTACGTTCTGTGTCATTCTCGATACCTCTGGTTGGTTGCTCACTCTGAATTGTAGTCAAATACTCAGTGGGTTCGCAGATTCGAGGCCAGCAAGGATTCACCAACAAGGAGACTGGCAAGTTCGAGTTGTGGGACGAGGCACAGGAGAAGCGTATTCGTGGTCCTGACGACGACACGCAGGGCCTTGTTCGTAGCTGGAGTGACGCACCCGGTGCTGATGGTCGGCCCCTTCCAAATCGCCGTGACGACGGCTATCATGGTCGGAACAACAAACGCATTAGGCCTGTCGAACGTTCGGAGAAGCCCATGGTTGAGGCGGAGATTACTGATCTCGATTACTATGATTAGTTAGGGATGAAGGACTGGGATACTATCCATGTCTCAGACGTCCAAGAGAACGAGAGTCTGGGATAGAATTCGATCAGACATCAAGATGAAGCTTCAGTATATAGTAAGGACAAAAGTGAAGACTTTCACTCAATGATCGTCAATGTCATGGCAAACTTTAAAGGTCCCCAGGTTATTTAATTGGGTTACAATGGTTCTGGAATAGTGGGGTTGATACGAATGTTCTGATACGTTGGGCCAGATACTCAAATCAGATGGACTTGAGCAGGCTTGAGTGAACCTCCCAGCTTGGAAACGCGACGCGTGTGCACGTGAGGTGGAGTTTGACTGGGTCTAAGCGCCCGCGTCATGACGTACCACCACTCTCCTGGCATATCATCACCCACTTTCCTGGTGGCCATGCTATTTGAACCTGTCTCCACGTCATGAACAGTCCCTCCAAACGCCGGAAAAAGAATGATGGCTCAGGGAAGCCGATACGCAGCTTGGACTACTTCTTCGCAAAGCAAACGGCTAGAGCGACACCCAAAGATGCACCGACGAACACAGGTCCCAGCGAACCGCCTGTGGATCAGGACAACACAGGCCTGACCGACGAAGAACTCGCGCGTAAACTTCAGGAGCAGTGGAATAAGGAAGACCAACAGCAGGGGTCAAATCAGGAGCCGGTGGAGCCGGTGAACTCGAATGAGCTGTATGAGGGGCCCGACAAAGTCCCTGCAGACACGACACAAGACACAAAAGGACAGAATGGGAATTCCGAATTAGCAATACGTGAAGCCACTGTAGAAAACACAAAGGCTGCCGAACTCAACCAGAAGAAAAACACGCTATCTCTCCAATCGACCGCCTCCGAAGAAGACGCGATAACAGCACATATACCCTTCGATCAGAGCCCTCTCGAATTTGAACCGGCAAAATACGTTCCAGAACTACAGAAACATTGGGTGAACGACGGAGGGCATGCGACTTACGCGTTATTGACACGATGTTTCATTCTGGTCAACAGTACGACAAGTCGCATCAGAATAGTCGACACGCTTGTGAACCTTATTCGAACGATTGTCGAAAGCGATCCTGATAGCCTGCTTCCAGCCGTCTGGCTCGCGACGAACGCGATATCGCCCCCTTACATCGATCTGGAGCTTGGTTTGGGGGGCTCAGCGATCTCGAAAGCACTTAAGAAAGTTTGTGGGCTAGATAACGCAGGCTTGAAAGTATTGAACGCAAAATATGGCGATGCTGGCGATGTCGCATTCGAAGCAAAGAAGAAGCAGAGCTTCACCCTTCGCAAACCGAAGCCTCTGACAATCAGGAGTGTCTTCGACTCACTAGTCAAGATCGCAAACAGTAAGGGACATGGCAGTGTGGAGAATAAGCAGAGAATCGTTGAAAGACTGGTGCAGGATACACGGGGTGCTGAAGAAAGCCGCTACATTGTACGGACGCTCGTACAGCATCTGCGGATTGGAGCTGTCAAGACCACGATGCTTATCGCTTTATCCCGTGCCTTCATGCTGTCGAAACCTCTAGGGGCTGAGTTCGAGATTCGTGATCAGAAGCAGATGGCAAAATTGAAGAAGGAAGAACTCACGGAGGTATACATCAGGAACGAAGAGATCGTAAAGGCATGTTTCGCTCGACGACCGAACTACAACGACCTTATACCTGTGCTTCTCGAGATTGGTGTTTGCGACGAACTGCTCGTACGCTGTGGGCTGTCACTACACATCCCTCTAAGACCTATGTTAGGAAGTATCACTCGCGATATGGGCGAGATGCTCACAAAATTACAAGGACGAGACTTCGCCTGCGAGTACAAGTACGATGGACAAAGAGCGCAGGTGCATTGTGATGCCAAGGGCAAAGTCACAATCTTCTCACGACATCTGGAAGTGATGACTGACAAGTATCCGGATTTGGTAGCGCTGGTGCCCAAGATACGAGGGGAAGGCGTCTCGAGCTTCATTCTTGAAGGCGAAGTTGTAGCTGTCGATCGGGAGAGTGGAGACCTCAAGACATTCCAGACACTTGCGAATCGCGCAAGAAAAGACGTCGTCGTCGGTGCCGTGACGATCGACGTCTGTCTGTTTGCATTCGACCTGATGTATCTGAATGGCGAAGAGCTACTGAACCGGCCTTTTAGAGAACGGAGGTCTCTACTCAGAAGTCTGTTTGTGGAGATACCACATCATTTTACCTGGGTCAAGAGCCTCGATGCTACGTCCGCCGACGTAGAAGCAGTTCAAGCCTTCTTTCAAAGCGCCTTGGAGATCAAGTGCGAAGGCATCATGGTGAAGATTCTTGACAACCTCCCTAACCCCGACCTACTCGCCGAAATCGACGAAGCTATTGAGAAGACGCCCTCGCTTCCACCAACACCTAAGAAGAAGAAGCCCGCAAAGTCCAAAGCTAAGTCGAATTCTAATGAAACGGAAAAAGACGAACCAAAGACATCTGGCCGCCGTAAAGCACTCTTATCGACTTACGAACCGGACAAGCGTCTAGACAGCTGGCTCAAAGTGAAGAAGGACTATAGTACCACCTCCGAGACTCTCGACCTGATTCCCATTGCCGCTTTTCATGGCTCTGGTCGGAAGGCAGCATGGTGGTCACCTATCCTCCTTGCCATCCGCAATGCAGAAACTGGACAATTGGAAGCAGTCACAAAATGCATGTCCGGCTTCACTGACACCTTTTACAAAGCCAACCGCGCAAAGTACGACCCAGACGACCCAGATTGCACAAACGTGCTCTCTGGCAAACCCCATTATGTAGAGTACAATGGTGGAGCTGGAACGCCAGTTGTTTGGTTCGAACCGCAAGAGGTCTGGGAGGTAGCTTTCGCCGATTTGACTTTGAGTCCGACGTATACGGCTGCGATTGGCTTGGTCAGTGAGGAGAGAGGGTTGAGTACGAGGTTTCCGAGATTCTTGAAGGTCAGAGAGGATAAGGGGATCGATGAGGCTACTGAGGCAGAGGAATTAGCTAGTCTGTATCGGAAACAGGAGGCTAAAGCGCCTAAGAAGAACGATGCTATCACGGAGGTCATGTACGAAGATGATGAGTAGAACAAATCATGACGTAGTAACCTTTGACTACCCCGAAGCTGGTCACTTGAAACAATGAATAACGTGAAAGCACTCCCTGATTCATTGTATCCCTCGGAACTAACATCTCAATCGCCATCCCGTCGTCCTAGAGCACCTGATACTTCAGCGTGCGAAACCACAAATGTATATATCTGTTTCTTTCAAGGAGATGGAGATAGGAAAGTCGTAATCCTCCTCCAACGTGGCATATCTGCTCTGCGACACCGCGGCTCAGCATTATCAAATGTGTGTTCCACATAAACGACATGCTGGCATGGCCATCCTCGACCGTATCGTTGGCTCGACCTTGAAGCGGTCGTTCGGCTTCGGCGGGAGGAGCAGCGGCGTGCATTGCACCCACGTCCTTTATGAGTTTAGAAACCGTGGACCTTGATGGTCTTGCCATCAAGGCCTAGGCCCTCTTTCTTATCGGTTAAGAAGTCTTGAACATCTTTGCGCTGGTCTCCCTGCAACTGGATCACCTCTCCCATCTCAGTGTCTGCGACGACAGTGCCATTGCAGGCAAACTTCTTCTTGATGACTTTGAGAATCTTCTTCTGGTCAAACTTCTTAGGCAGGCCTTGGACCGTCGTTAGAGTCTTGCGACCATTGCGCTCTGTTGGGGGTTGACGTCAGCCTTGCGCGATTTCTTGAAGCGTAAGGGAGGGGAAGGAATGTCGCGCCGATGTCGCGCAGAAGATGAGATCGAATAACAGAAGACTAGATGGTATACATACGCTGGATACGAATGTGGATGTAGTTTTGCTGAGTAGACTTTACTTCTCCTCCAGCATCATCAGCCTCCGCGAACGGATCGAAGGACTTGAGATTCTGGATGTCCGTGGTCATGAAATCGACTGGGGGCGCTCTGTGGGTGCTGAGAGTAGTAGGGCGGTCGTTTGTGGGTGTAGTGTGAAAGTGGAGCGTAATGGTGTGTAATAAAGGTCGGAGTGGTTGAGTGGAGCGGTTGAGGGTATTAATCGGCGAAGGGAAGGGTGGCGAGGGGACCATCTATGGGGGAGCCCGCAGGCGGTCTCAGCCCCGCTGCCAAGCGCCAACTCCGGAACAGTCACTAGCGCTGATCTACAGTCCCCCAGGGATGCCTGTATCTACCACTCCTCATGTTCGTTTATGGACGTACTGTGTAGATACTGCTCATGGTCGATATCACAGTCCCCAAGACTTCCTCGTTGGTCAGAGGCATGGCTGTCTTCGCAACCACGATGCCTTCTCTAATTCCGTGCTACTGTCTTATCATGCGCATGCGCACTGTCACCCGTCTCAACAAAAGCGCATAGCGCACCAACAGGCTTGAGGCTTTATCGCTTAAGGCAAAGGAAGCTCATCCAAGAAGACCAAGGGAAGCGCCATCCAGATTAATTGTGCAGGAAGCGTTATCCAGAGTAATCGTACGTCGATGTCGGCGTCACGTAGAGGTCGCATCTGGAAGAGGGCTACCGATTGTAGCTGGTGATGATGAAGGCAGAATGCACTCGTTCTGTAGAGGTGCAGTCGCCGAATTCGAAAAAAGATTCGTTGTGTCGTACGATGTTATTGCAGCGGGGCTAAACACATCTGTCGGGCAAGTTGTGATGAAGAAGAAGTGTTGAAGTGCATGAGGCGCACGAATTTGGGAGCGTTGACTACTGTAGCTTGAATACCTTGGTAGCGACATCTTCGAGCCATGGTTGATCCGTTCGTATCTGTGGTGAGGCGTGCGTCATTGATGGTATACGTTGCAAACTCATTTAGAGTTTTGTACTGAGAAAGGACAGTGGAGTGACATGACATGCATTGGTGTGCGCCTCGCGATGAACAGGGGCATTGGCATACCTACAAAGAATCTCTCATCTTCTGACGCTCCAGACATCGCCACCCATGCCAACAACCTTGCCGTCGACTTCTAATTCGCCCAGCAACTTCTTCACTTCCTCAGGTCCAAACGGGAATCCGCCTTGAACCATCATCCGCATCATCATAGCTATGCGGCCCACATTCATATTACCCTGATTTGTTAGCATACCCAATATGAAAGCCGTATAGACATCTTTCTTCTCCTCTAGCATCTCGCTTTGCGACTTGACGGTGTTGTTTGTAGCGTTGGCTTGGATTGTAGCTAGTTCTTCTGCTGCGGCTGCAGCGTCGGCGTCATGCGCACCAGTCTTAGATGTGGGTTTAGGGAGGGACTCGATAATAGAATATGTGGATGGGGCGTGGAAGCGGAGGACGGATTTGCCCACCCAGAAGGAGAGGGCTTGGTGTACGAGGCTTTCGTCCATCTCCAGCATATCTTCTAGCTGAGACACGCTGCGTGTTATGCCCTCGCCACCTTTGTCTGCATATTTTGTTTCCTCGTCGGGCTGAGGTTGGAAGGCATAAATTACACTAACCTGCCAGGGTGTGAGATGATCAAAGTCCTCAGTGCGGTCGTCGAATGTGAGGGTTATGGAGCCGTCGCCCAAGGCATTCATCCACCGCAGTTTGCGCATTCCTTTGATACGCTCGAAACGTGACTCGTATTCCTTCTGTAATGCATCAATCTGCGCAGGTACGCGGAATGTGTCGTCGCGAAGCTGGGGCCAGAAGAATGATGATAAAATCTGTGCGTTGAGCGTGGGACCAGGGGGTGTTGCGGCACTGGAGGTAGAGGGAGTGATGTTTCGAGTTAACCGTGTTGGCCTTCGGGGCTGAGGTGTCCGCGGGTGTTGGCCATCTGGCGTTCGAGGCTCTAGGCTACGGTGATCTGGCGTGGCGAGTGATGCTGCAGTTGGTACATTGATTGTCGTGCGGATGGTACCGTTGATACGCTTTGATTCTAAAACGTCTCGCAGCATGACTTCGCAAGCCTGTAGCTTGTCGTCGCCTAACCGCACTTTGATGAGCTCCAAAAGTCGGATTTCTTTCTCATACTCAGGGTCTTGACATCTAAGCAAGTGGTCTCCATATATGTTCTTCAGCTCATTGATGAAATCCTCTCGCTCCCAGAGTGTTAGCAAAAACCATATCACATCTTCGACCTTTGACTTTTTATAGTCTGGTGATGCGTCTTGTGGGAGCGGCTGCCAGTTCATGTCGTTCCAGTTGAGCTCCTCATCAGTATCCTGTCCGTAGTTTGCGAACGGCTTTCCCATCTCACTAGCAATCTCATATGAAAGCTCGCTGTTCGATGAGAACTTACTGCCCGTCTCATCGCTGAGATCAGTAAGTAGACTTGATATGATGATTCGTGCTGTATCTTCACGCTCTTTTAGGTACCGCCTGATCGGTCTAGCTACGCGCTCTAAAAGTACGCCCTTGGGTTCTAGCTCGTGGAATGATCGAATGATAAATATGTAGACGTTCAGTATGTAAGTGGTCGTAGCCCCAGGATGTAGTAGTCGTCTCGATACTTGCTGGGAAAAGCTCGAAGTAAGATGCTGCTTTGCGTTCGAAACTCGTAGATACTCTTTGATGTCCAGTATGGCACCCAGACTCTTGTCCCAGTTGATGACAAAATCGAACAAGTTGTCGACTCTTGCTCGCCCCAACCTACCCAGCGCCATCTCTTGCCATGAGGTCAGTTCGGTGGGTTGGATATTGCTCTGCTCGCACCGCAGACATTCCAATACTAGTTCGACAAGCGGACAGAAGCCGTCTTGAATCCACAACCTTAACTGCGGCACGATGGACTTCTTGGAGTACCAATCTACCTTTAAGTAGTGGCTTGTGATGAAGGAGTCAAACAGCTTGTTCATCGCATGTGCAAAAGCCTTCTGTGCACTATCACCACCAAGCCCAACGCGCTCGAGGCTTTGTAGCAGCATGGTCATCCGCTTCCTGAACTCTTGCGTGTTCTCGGGCGTGGTACTCGGCTGCATACCGTCGTTTTGGGTATATATGCGAAACAAACGGCATCCTGCGTCGTAAAGAACATAGCTCAGCGTTTTCCCATATCGTTGTAGTGGCAGACAATGTGCAAAGACAGCTTGTACATCCCGGCGGAACTTCCAATCGGCTACACTCGCAGTATCTGAGTCAGCTATCTGTGTAGATCTGCTCGGCCGAAGGGTCGTGTTACTGGCGTTTTGCCGTACAAGGGGCAGCAAGTGCTCGGTGAAAGGTTGGAGATACGCGTTCTGCACTTGCTCGAGGATGCGCTGGGTTTCGTCAAGAATATCCCACGACCGCTCGAGCTCAACCTCGTCCCTCCATAGATCTTCTAGCGCTGGCCGAATGTGGTTCGCAAAGTGTAACCTGCACTCGTTTGTATACCATTCAACCAGAGTCTCTTCCTTCCCATCATCACTCTTGCCCTCTCCATTCAACAAAAAGCTCAGCGCTTCTTCAACTTCTCTATTCTTTTGTGTTCTCAAAACGCAATTGACGTCCTTTGGTAAACTCAGGAATCGTGTTGCGCAGCTCCATGCTATGTTGCGCTTGACTGCTCTGTGTTGTCCCTGGCCCTGTGCTTGCGCTGGCGTCCGGCTCTCAGAATTCCGCAGAGCATAGGGACTCCCAAACGAGGTACCTGGCGCTATATGACCCAGATCCGGTGTCGCAACCGGCGTCGGCGTGCTATGTGAGAAGGAGAGGACTGGGAAGACGGACGCGAAGACGAGGGTCGAATGGTCCATGGCGGGACGGAGACGCTGTGGGCCCCACTAGGCCAGTGTTTAGGTTCGTGTTCGAGATGATTTGGGGTTTTTTCTCATAGGCGTGTGAGTGACGGGCGTTCTGGCAGTAGATATGTGGATACTATAGGCCTGCTCATGGTTGGGTGTCGGGCTGGTAATACTGTTTGCTCTCGCATGCAGCAGTCGCGATCGTCACCGATCGAGCTCGGGCCATGCACAACGCGTATTCACGTGGGGCTATCTTTGTCCTTCCTAGGGAGGTATCTAAGTATCCTAACGCGTCAATAGAAATTACACATGAAGAGAAGGTACCAAGTCGACTTTCACTACCAATGCTGAATTAGATGATGATAAATTTCTAACATCTAACATTAAATTGCCCTGAAACGCATCAAGCCATCTGACTTCGCGCACAAAAGATTCCCAGGTCTCGAGACCACATACCTGATGAAGAACTATCAAGGATATCTACCATATACGCCGTCCTACTCCATTCCCTTTCATGCTCCATTCCATGCACATAGTAAATGACGCAGTAACAATATAAAAAAAACCGTACCTGTCGTATCAATCCCATCATCTCAAGGCCTTAGTACGCCGTGCCGCCTTCTGAACGCCTCGACTCGTTCCTCGTAGAAGAGTATCTCCCGAACACGTAGCTTGGGGCCTCTCTGCGAGTCTTGCACAAACGATTCGTCATCGCTTTCCACATCCACATCATCGCTCGCTTCGCTCTCTGTGTCGTCACCACCGGGCGGTATAGCGCCTTCGTCCATGTCGTCGTCGTCTTCGTCTTCCGTGGCTTCGCTCTCGTCGTCAGAAAGCATGGGATCGTGTGTTGCGTAGGCAGAGCCGCTACCATCAGCGTGCATACCATCGTGCCGTAGATCATAGTTCGACGGCCGGTTCTCCAGTATCTCGAAGCACTTCGTAGACAGACCCATGTAGCAGAGCTCGATTTCCGGTCGCAGGTGCACAATGTCGAGGATCTGGTAGGCGAGCTCGCGCGGATCTATGTTGCTGCCATGTGCGTGGTCCGCAATAAAGGGAATATAAAGAGAGCGAATGTGAGGTATGTACGGAAGACGCTGAAGAAAGTGATGCTACAAAAGTTAGTCAAATATATCCGACTTGCAAGGAGGTGCAACATACCCAATCCTTGTAATCAATAGACACCGCGAGTTCGCGCAGGCTGTTCATACGACCGCTTGTTATGTATGTCAGAATCTCACGGTTGAGCATCCATCGTCTCCATCTCGAACTAGCACTCGTATGTCCGTCTGGTCCTTTCTCACCACTGTCAATCATTAATTTCTTCAGACTACCTCGGTGTCTCTTCAACGGCCCCTTGTAGATTGCGTCTACTGTCACCGTAGATGAGTAAGACCGGCCTTCTTGGAGGAAGAGCACCTCAAGACTATTGGGCGCCAGTGTTTCTTTAAGGAAAGTGATCAGCGATGGGGACACGGTATTGGTGTGAATTCGCTTGAGGTTGAGTTGATACTCTGTCCGGAGAGTATAAGACGCCTTGTACGCCTTGGACGAAGATGGTGAGCCGGGGTAAGGGGGACGAGGGGTATATGTCCTTCGCAGTATCTTCCACAGTTGTTCGTGGTTGCTGCAATGGAGAAGAGTCAATGTCGACAGAATCGACCAGTCAAAGGCTCTGCGAAGAACAGGAACGGAGAGAGGAACGCGTTCGAGTTCCAAGACTTCTAGCTTCAGTTTGCCAGTCAGTAAGGGCTCGTCTTGTAAATTGGTGGTCTCGCCGTGAGAAGGAGACTCTGCATATGTCTTCGAAGCCGAGTTGTCTGTGTTGGCAGTCTGTGCAGTTTGGTCAGAACCATTCGGCTGGTTGTCGCTAAACAGACTAACGCCCTCCGTTATAGAGTTGTCTTCCATCGGGTTACCAAAATGGTCTACGTCCTGCTCCAGATCCCGTTCTTGTAACGAGAGCGAGGCGATAGATGGCAGGGGTAAGGATGCGGCCGACTTGGCCGGCGTTGCTTCCACTGATCGCTCCGTGACACCAGTAGCGCCAGACTTGCGAGACGAAGACTCTTCTGAATGGCGCATGTTGTGTATGCGGCCAACAAGGATACCCAGAATACCTCCTAGCCTCTTTTCTCCTATTGAAGAGGCTGCCGTCGTTGTAGCATTGTAGTCGACTTGCTGCAGACCTTCACCTTCCCAAACCGTCACCCAGTCTCGCTGCTGTGCGTGAGCAGCTATGCCAATTCTTAGTTCGCGTAGCTTCCTCTGGGACCTTGCGATCAGGATGCTCATCTCATCGAGGTATGGCAGTTCGTCGATATCCAAGACACTCAAACTCTTCAGCGCAGGTATGGCGGAAAAGGTAGGGTGCTCAACTCGATCTAGGGCAGATATGCTGCTCGGTGCGTACGGGGGCACTACGACTATGGGAGCCTGCACGGTGCCAAGACCGCTTGGATGCGTAGTGTTTGGGGGCGGAGGTAGGTTCTGGTTGTTGAGTATCATGGGCGGTGCGGGTGGTGGGATTGGCGCGTCAATTGTGTTGTCGTGCCATCGTATCCAGAGCCGGTCCAGGCGGCATTCCTCGCCATCACTCCTGTGCGCGAGGCTTGACAGGGCAAGCCAGACATCGCGAAGCACACCGGTAGGCATGTCCCACACGAATGTCTCGAGGTTGACCATCCGCGCAATGGCAAGCGCTACCAGCGTTCCCAGCATCTTTCCGCCTTCCTTTGTAATCATGTACTCCTGAACCCATGCTTGCGGTCCATTGCCGAGTGAGAACTTCTTTGTGAACTGTCCGTAGTAGTTGCCGAACCGCCGCTGCGGTACGGGGTATGGGTTTGCGGCAGTCCTCAGTATGGAAGTTGGCGTCTGTCCCTGTAGTCGCAGCCGGTTCTGGTGAGGGAAGCAGTCGTCGCCCATGACCAGTGTCGCCAGGCCATAGGTAAGGGCGTCCACGCCGGCGCGAGGCTCGTTGTGGGTGCTCTCGTCCGGCCACACAATGTCGAAACGCGAGTATATGCACGGGATCGTGAGACGATGGAGGGCTGAGTGGCAGAGGCAGAGCGAGGTGAGGTCGTTTGTGTGTGGAAGCTGTTGAGCTGCTGGTCAGCATACACCGTGCCGCACCTGCAAGGCGCTGCGCATAAGCCGCCCTACTCACCTGGTGTATGATTTCCTTCAGGATATCCATAGGCAGGTCCAGCAACTTCAGTGGGCCCTTGGTGGCTTTCTCCTTCCCCTTCGATTCTACGCCCTGCTCAGCTGGTTCCGTCGCATTCACCATGCTCGGCGCTGGGGCGCTCATCCACACACCCTCGGCGTGAGCTTGCATCTCGGCGGTATGCGCATCGTCTGAGGAGGGCGAAAAGGCGCGGGCGAGGTCCCTCTCGGAAGGTAGCGGCGAGGCAGTTCGTGGAGTGTCGGGTGTTGAGGGTGGGGAGTCGGCCATGGTGTGTGTGGGACCGACACGTCGTGGGGGGCAGCATATAGGCTCCCGGAGGAGGTGGGAGGCCGAGTGCGGGAACAGCACGAGAACACGGTTCTTACATGTGCCCAAGGTTTGCCAGCGAGCCGTCGAGTGCAAGTGTTGTATCAGACTTCGCAATCGACGTGGTTGGCCAAGAGACCCTGTGCACATCATGCCAACTCCGTTTCCCTGTACAACAGCCCCGGCCGCCGCTTACGCCGCAACTACGCTTTGCGCGGCAAATGAGCTGACACGTCCTACGACCACCTTGATACGAGAGTCAACACAACCAGTTTCTCCACGTAGCAAAATTCGACTGATTTACTTCACCATGCTAGGCGTACATGCATCCGTCCACTGCGCATGTACATGCAACTGCGGTGACAATCCAAGTCTTGCGTCTGCACTGAAACTACGGTACTATACATGTATATTGCTTGCCATGAAATCAAAGTCGCCTTTGTGAGCGGGTATAACCATCCAAAAACTCCACGGTCAGTAGCGTCATGCAACAACGCCGATAGAATGCTCAACAAATCAACGCCGTATCCCAGGGGCATCTCAACTTCGTCCCATGTTCAGTGCCGTCTGCCCACGCTCTGGGTCCGACATCTTGATGATCTTGACGTCCGAGGTTTGGGTGACGCTGCTCATCGACTGTGGGGTGATGAAGATGAACTGTCGACCGATTGAGCGGCGAGCAGCTTCGATGATCATGTGTAAACTCCTCTCACGGTTGACATTGTCCATGAAGACGTCACTGGGACAATTAGTTAGCTAGCGCAGGGAAAAGGGGACTTTGGACAACTTGCAATTCGTCGAGACAACGAATGGGTGAGCCCATTGCATCCCATAGTGAGAGGAGCAGGCACACGGTAGAGTAGGATTTCTCTCCTCCAGAGAGCGTCTTGGTTTCTCTACCATCTCCGCTTCGCTCTGTGATATCCGGTTGAACCTTGCAAAGTCAGCGCATTGTGCGGCGTCGGGCTAATGTTCAAACCTACGTGAATGTCAAGAAGAGCCTTTTCGTGGTCGATGCGAAGCGTCCCTCTAAATTTGCGTTCGCTCAGCAGATAGTTGAAGGTGACCCGCGCCCGGACAGAAATGCCATTTCGAAATTGCTTCCACCGAAGACGTCGGTTATCCAGGGTCTTCATGAGTTGCTGTACCATGTCAGCAGAAGTCAAAATCGTACATGCAACTATACTTACACGACACAAGTTGTCAATGCCCTCATACTCCTGTATTGCATCGTGGTGCTTCTGCTTCGCTTCAGTTGCCGCCCGAGTAAGATCCAGCTGCGATCCACCAAGCTCCCTTTCTGTCTCCTTTCTTGTTTTCTCCATCCTGAACATCGCCTCTTGGAGCTTGTCAGATGTCTTGTCAGGGGGGACAAAAACACGCTCTTCACAGATGATCTTCGCACCATCAATCACTTCTACCAGCAGGGCCTGTTGATCGGCTAGCTCTGCTTGCCACTGCTTCTTGATGTCTTCAGCTTTGGCAACCTGGTCGATTGCGGCGTTCTTGAGCTTGAGCTGTTCTTCCCGCGTGCCCTGCATTTTTCGAACCGTCGATTGCGCCTTCTCGAGGCGGAACTGGTAGTCAGCGACAACCTTTTGCGCTTCATCCATCTCCCGTTTATTCGCCTTGTTTTCATCATCAAGCTGGTATTTTGAGATTTTCAAATCTTCAAATGTTCCCTCACTTATCACCAATTCTTCTTGGGCCTTTGCAAGGTCTGCCTCGCGCACCTGGATAGCTGCTGCGTCAGGAGTTGCTTCGTCCAATTCGTTCTCAAGTCGGTCCACTTCTTTGTTGGCACGTTGGAAAGCAATTTGAAGGTCTTTCTTCTGGCGTTCGTGGTCTCGTATCCGAGACTTGCATGTATTGACCTGATCAAGCCGTTGACTAGAGATCTTCTCACAAGCCTCAAGTTGTTTTTGAGCCTGAGCGAGATTTCTCTCCTCTGTCCTACATATCTAGTTAGCAAGTTTCCAGACATGTGGATCATTTGTTCGCACTTGATCTGTGTAGGTTCATCTACCTGCATACGCAGAGGTCCGGAGTATTCCGCGATCGGGCTGTTGTTGATACCTCCGTTGCTGGTGTAGCTGAAGACGCGACCTTTTCGAGTGTCGCCATCTGCAAAAGTGAAGCACATCTTAACATGTTCGGTCGATTTTCCACGGGCATCCATGAAATGGGCACCTTCCTTCATGTCCTCGATGAGCACGGTCTGCTCGATCGCCTGATTGATAATAAACTGATTTCGAACAAGGTCTTCTTCGATCTGTGTATTGGTCAGCTGGAAATCTTTACACCATTCGCGCAGAGACCGTGCTTACCGTAAGAGCTCTCATCCATGTCACAAGTTCATCCGGAGGCTCACTCCCAGTGGTGTCTATGTGCGCCTTTTTGCCAATGTATATTGGAGCAGACCTAAATTTGTTAGCTTCGTCGACGAAATGAGAAGTAAACACGTGCCAGCCAATCCTGTTCATCAGGACAGACAATGTATTCTGATCTTGTCTGCTTGTGACAACAAACCCATTCAAGGCTTGACCGAACTGCTTTTCCAATATCCGGCCCCACTGAGACTTCACCAACTTGACGTGACGACCGAGAGGCCCGATTGGTGGTTCTCTGAACCTGCGCTCAGACTTGATCGCATTGAGTAACTCATTCAGCTTTCTGTGATTTGGATACGCTTCGATCCAGTTGCTCTGGCCTCCTTGCAGTGCCCTGATAGTATTCGTGATGCGTGTGACGCCGGCCCGCGCCTCTTCCGTCTCACGATCCGCTTCGTGCTGCTCCTTCTGGGCGTCCTTGAGCTTCTCCTGCAGAGCTGAAAGGCCTGTATCATGGGCTTCGAACGCAGCCCTGGCATTGTCGCGTTGTACTTTGGCTTCTTCACACTCCCGAGCCTTCTCGGCATGACGACCATTGTCCGCTTCAGCCTGTCGTCGTCGGTATTGCTCGATCTCTGCTTTGATATCTTGTACTTTCTTCTTCTTTGCTTTCAACTCGCTATGAACATTCCGTTCATCAGGCTGTAGTTGCTGGAGTTTCGTTCTGATGTCTTGAAATTTCCCTCTAGCCTCAAGTAACGATTGCTCCGCAGGCTCTAAGTCAGCTGTAATATCAGTGACAGATTGCTTCGCAGCTTCACAGGCTTGATCTGCTTGTTCATAACGCTCTGCTGCCTTCTCAGCGTCCCCTTGTAGCCCTCGTATGACTTCATCGCATTTCGTGATTTCCTTTAAACTGTTTTCCACCTCTTGTTCCTGCTCCCGGACAGCCGCCCACGCTGCTTGATTGGCGAGCTCCGCTTCCTTATCTCGCATGGTCTGCAGACTTGCCGCGCGTTTAGCTTTTCTCGCCAGCACTTCCATCTCATTTCTCAGGACCCTAAGGTCGGCTTCCTTGACCTCTGCTCTCGCATTCATCACTTCTAGAGACTGTTCGATCTGCTGATAGTCTCTATTGAGATTCTCGAGCTGCGTGCCTTGCAGGAAGAACTTGTATTTGTCTTTCGATGTCGAGTGGTTCAGAAACTGTCTTGCCATGTCCTGCGTTAGCACGTTCATTGGGTTGTCAATTTGCATAGAGAACGCGTCCAGGATGTCTTCAAGCTCAGCCTTTTTGTTCGTAACAAGTTTGTTATTTACGTTTTTGAGCTTGAACCCCGAAGTGCCGGATTTACTGAAGTGTCGTTCGACGATGATCGAGTCGCCGTACTGCGCAGGTTTGTAAGCGAGTGGTCCTTGGTTCTTAATCTTGACAGACACAGAGGAGTGCTCTTTTCCCTCCTTGATGAGGCTCTTGAGGTTCTGGGCGCGGTTTGTGGCTGTAGCCTTTCCACCCAGGCAAATTTGAATTGCTGTGAGCACTGCGCTCTTGCCGCTACCGTTGTGTCCGATGATGAAGTTGATCAAAGGTCCCAAGGTCACCGTTAGATGTTCGTGACACATAAAGTTGATACACTGAACTTCCTCGATGATGCCAGAGTCAGTCGGCTCGTTTTGCCGTTTTGCAGTCGCCTGGCGTTCTCTCTGCACCTGCTGTGTTGCCCATATCTCATGTTCGCGAGTCTGTTCGCCTTCATCATCGGGTGACTCGCTGCCGCTTGCCGCGTCGGATCGTTCGTCATCTGACTGGTCGCTGTCTTGGGATTCAGATTGTCGGGCTCGTTTCCCCTAGACGGTGTTAGCATATGTGTTGGTGCTGGCTTGGGACGGTTGATGTACGCGACTATTGCTACCTGAGCCGCTAGGATCAACCCCATCTGTGAGAGCGCGAGGGCGCTTCGCAGACATTACTGCGGCTACTCCGATCCCAGAGAAAGAGTTGGGGGGCGCGGTTGAGTTGTAGGGGCCCGGTGAGTGTTTGCAGAGGCAGTTCAGAACGCGCTCCTCCCCCACTGGACCGTTCGGGAACCGCGCTAGTGTCCGTGCCTGGCGATCTCACATTGACGCGGTAATATAAGAATTCGCAAACGACGCAGAGTCGGAACGAAATGGTATTGAGCGAACATGAATCATATAGGACAGTTCTGGGTTGGCGGTAGTGCATACTACAGTTCGATTCAACTCAACTACGATTGACCCTGACACGTGATAGCGCGTCACCGCGTGATTGCCCTGCTGCCATCTCATCCCACCTACTCTAAAACGTAGTGCGACATCGCGGTGCTACAGCGGCTCATGTTCTACGCGCGTAAGGATGCCTACGCTCCAAACCGCAAGGCATCTGTGTGTAGCCAGAATACATGTTGTTGAAATAGAAGCAGCTCACAAGCTAGGTACGATCACGTACCTGGCCTGCAGCCACACATCACACTTGAACGTCCAGCCATGGCACTAGATTGGGTCATGTCATTTCGCGACTGGAATTTTTCTATACTAGATAATCACCAACGCCGCCTCAGGTGTTTCCAAAAATGGGTATATCAAGTGTCAGTACTGCGACTGTTCACTACTATGCAAGATTAAGATGTTCCGCTATGCAAAATTCATTGAGTATTGCGCCGTGCCAGCACTGTTCAATCTACATGACAATCTGAGATACGTCAGCAATCGTTTTTGGTCACCAACAGAGGTGATGCAACTTACACAATCGCTGTCCTTAGGCGCCTGTCCTATGCCCATCTCATCAAACGTCTTTGGTCCCTTGCCTGGTGTCGAAGCAGCTGATGGCGCTGGCTTAGGTGGCGTAGGCGTCGCCGGCTTACCTGCTTGCATTGGCGCAGGCTTGGGAGGTGGTTGCTGTTGTTGCAATGTTTGTACCCTATTAGGCTTGGGCATGTTGTCGTATCCGCTAGGACGACCAGAGGAGCCCGGCCGTGATGAGGGTCGGGAGCCTTGACCCGGTGTAGTAGTCGAGGGTCTATCCATCCGTGAAGAAGTCCTACTCTCCTGACCTGGTTGAACTGTAGATGGGCGGGTGTGCTGGCGGGGCTCGAGAGGCGCGACGTAGCCAATGTCTGGCAGTGTGGGCGCTTTCTTGAGTGGCGCCCCTGTCGGTTTCTGCAGCTTGTTACGTCCATCTGGCGCACTGTATCCGATATCAGGAGGCTGCGTCGTCGATGGGCGGTTCTGGGGTTCTGGACGTTGAGCGCTCGGTCCTCCGGGCTGCCTGTAACTCGCTGGTCCTCCTGGTGGCAGCGGCGCACCACGACCACCGCTGGAAGGACGTCCACCACGTCCTGGACCCATGTTGTCCACACTCGTGTGAGGACGCATTGGCATCGGACCCATGTCGTAACCAGGACCGGGATTAGGTCGAGGACTGCCGCGTCCATAAGGATCATTTGGAGGATAAACGTTGGGGTTGATGTTGAATGCTGAGGATGCAGGTCGAGCACTCGAAGCCCTCACCTCTGGTGCAAAGCCACCGGCGATACCTGGCCGCTGTGGACTTAGTCGAGGGGGGCCATTGTCCATAGGGTATGGCGCTGCTGTAGAGGGACGGTCGTAGGGAGCCGACATGGGGGCACTCGAGATCATTGGGGGCTGGTCAGACATAGGATACGGCGTTGTACTATCGCCTCTTGGCGGAAGGCGACCACCTGTAGGTGTGGCTGGTGAGGTATCGCCGTAATCAGAAGGACTGATATCGTTGATAGAAGGCATAGGAGCATGTGACTTTTGCAGTCTCGCTGGCCGCTGCCCTCGCATGGAGCCGTGCTTCGATTTGATCATGTTGATAGCGACGTTTTCATGGTCCTTCTTTGACAGCGTCCGTGATAGCTTGGAGATGCTCTCTATACGTGCAGTCGCATCTTTGTTGCCGTTCTTCTCTGCTTTTTCGTACCACTCCAAGGCTTTGTCAAGATTGACCGGCGTGTTCATGCCGATCTCGTTGAAGTAGCCCATGGCGAACTCGGCTGTCGCGAGGCCAGCCGCTGCGGCACGTTGCGCGTATTGGTACGCCAGCTCTTCGTTCTTATTGAACTCTCCTTCGTGTCCACAGAGGAACCATTTGCTGATAGCCATGTCTGCCTCGGGCTCACCCTGCCTAGATGCGAGTGCGTTGTAGTGTAACGACAGCGTGGGGTTAAACTCACAGCCCAGACTGCAGAGCTCGTAGGCGGAGCCCATCTTCAGCTGAGCCTTTGCGAACCCGAGATAGGCGGCTTTCTCTATGTTTTGTCTGGCGCCCTTCTCATCATAGGGCAAAAACATCTCGGGCACATTGATTTGGGGCAGTTCTCGCGCCTGAAGCATGCCCAGCACGTAAGCACCCTGTGGAGCATTCTCATCGGCAGTGGCCGCAGCCAGTTTGATCAGTTGTACTCCTCTTGCAAAGTCTTGTGGCTGGCCGTGTTGTCCGAGCAGCGTCATCATACCGAGACGGTAGTTGGAGGCTGAGTCGCCTTGTTCGGCGCCAGCTTTGTAGTTCTGCAGAGCCTTGATGGGGTCATTTGACTGCTCAAACTGCATGCCCATGCGGTATTCTGCCCTTGCGTATCCCTTTGCAGCCGCGCGGGAGTAGCATCTGAACGCTTCCTTCTTGTCTGCGCGCATGCCAAACTTGCCAAACTCTAGCCACATGCCCCGCATAAAGGTCGCTTTCGGATGGCCTTGGTCCGCCAAGAAGGTGACTACGTTCATTGCGTCCAGACGAAGCTGGTGCTCGACTTGTGGTGTGGCCGGTCTCGCCCCCTGGATCTCTGAGATGCGCTGCTCGTGCAGTTGCGCGGCGTCTACATATTGCAGTGCGTCTTGTGCCCATGCCAGCTGCATCTCGGGATCATTCGAGTTGAGCACCGGCAAGCGGGCATTCTCCAGGACAGCCTCCTTCTCATCGTCGGACGGCGGCACGTTCGGAGGCTTGTTGGGAAGCTTGGGGAAGGGCGAGAAGTTGGGCGAGTCGTGGCTCTGGGCAAACTGGTTGTAGTCGTGCGACGGCTGCTGCTGCACCGACTGAGGCTGCACGTTTGGTGGTTGCCGGAAGGCAGAGGAGATGCTCGCTTGCCGCGCCGGCCATTGATCGTTGTGGACAGGCAGCTCGTTCTGGTAGCTCGCCTGTCGCGGCGGGAAGTTTTGCTGTGACTGATTGTAGCCCTGCATGGGTGACATGGCGCCGTTGGTACCACGAGGGCCGTTGGCTTCCAGCTCCAGATGCGCGATGTTTTCTTGCATGTTCTCGGGCACTTCGGGCATTATCCTACCGCCAAACCTACGTCAGCCGCAATTTCAGGGCATGCATATGGTGATGGGCTAGAACGAACCGCTGAGGCGCAGGCGAGATGACTTCAGGCGAAGGAGCCGGCATATAATAGTCATCGAAGCCTCCTGGCACAAAAGTCGCCCCGAGCTGGGGTTGGCCCTGGTGGTAGCTCATTATGATGTTGCGATAGGATATCAACTGCTGCACGCTGTGATGCTTGAGATGTAGGCGTCAGCCGTTGTCCAAGAGAAACAGCGTTCTATGCAGGTTGCCGCCTGGTTCCAAGGACCGTTCCGCGAAGCAGTCATCGAGGCCGCCATGCATGCCGAGTGACGCGTGGAGCAGGAAATGAGCGTACCACGTACCTTAACTTGGTGGGGTATGTCCCTGAATCGCCGTCGCTAAATGCGAACTCGCCGACAACCCTTGCGATCTGTCGGGTATCGTATACGAGAAAGCCGTCGATCCCTCGTAGTCGTATATGGTTCAAGTATGTCGCCAGAGGCAGCGGTACAAGTAGCGGAGGCGGCGGCAGTGAGCGGTTGAGGAGTGGCGCAGGCGGAAAAGAATAGGTTCAGGGGAGATTCGAAACGGCTGAGCAGGCTGTTTGCTACTGAAACAGACGCTCAAGTAATCGCGGCAGTCTTAGGAATATGGGTAGTGAAAGGTGCGTTATTTGACGTTGAGGCCCGAGTGAGCTCTCCAGCTTGCATACATGTGCGCTTCCAAGGTCACAAGAACAAGGAGTGGATGGTCCCTCGAGGTGGTGACCGGCATTTGTTAACAATGTCATCCTTTACCCGCCTGTCGTTGACAGCTACTATAAATGTTTCGACAAGTCTCGGAAACCAGCCGCCGAGCTCACGTTACTGTGCCATTCACTTCGAGGCTGTGCAGTGACGTTGACGTTGCTCCGAACCACCACTTTCGGTCGCGCACGCCTGTCGTAACAATTTCGGATCTGACGGCGGATCCACCAGGGGAGGACGGAGACGAAATGCAGCAATGGCTTGCGCGGCTGCATACGTTCTAGCCATCCAAGCCTAATTAACAAGGTTTCTGTCATAGCACGCAGTTTGTCACGTATGATGTGCTACAAATTCAACAGGGTATTCGTAATTCAACTCCTTCGTGGTAAGACGAAGACAAAGTCGTGTTGACAGAGCGACACTGCAGCTACTGTATACATATCTGGAATGAAACCACAAGGCGGCGCAGATCGCTTACTGCTCGAGGCATCCGCAATGATGAAGTATGCAAGCAACAAGGATAGAAGCACATCTAGTGGACCATCACGTCCGCACCAGACTGTTGCTGCGGGGCACCTCCGGGCTGTTGTTGGGCTGGCTTGTCACCGTTGGCGGCGCCTGCCTCACCCTCATCCATCTCCATGTCATCGTCGCCGCCCTCCTCGCCCTCCTCCTCCTCATCGTCTTCTGAATCTTCAATGTCAATCTCCTCGCTGCCGGCCTCAGACTCGGCATCCTCGTCGTTGGCGGGGCCTGCAGTGTCCTCGGCGCCTGCCATGGCAGCATCCTCGCCCTCAGCGGCAGCACCCTCACCCTCTTCCTCTTCCTCCTCTTCTTCCTCGATACCGTATTGGTCTCCGTCTGCGGTGAGGTCGGCCTCTGGCTGCTCAGGGGGGAACTCAGGGGGTGCAGACTCGTCGGAGTCCCTACCAAGGTTAGTACTGCCAAAGGAACGTAGCTGTCTGTGCTTGATCATACCACTTGATGGCAAAGCGCGTGACTCGTGGCTTCTCTGCAAGAATCTGCCTCTGCACCTTCTCGATGACGGGCTTGGTAGGCGGGTCGAGTGCCAGCGCCTCGTCTGTGTACTCGTTGTTCACATAGTATCCGACACGCACGAACTCGCGCTCATCATAGCTGCAGCTGAGCAGAATGACTGTGACACCGATGATCTCGCTGTTGGGAATGCGCGACAGGTTGGGAGGGTCGGCCTTGAATTGGAACTTGTTGACGCCAACCGGGAGAGGACCGACGAGGACAGAGTCGAGTTCTTGGTCGTACTCGTTTCTGCGGTATGTTGATCAGACGTGTTCATAAGGGGATACAGGAGTGGTCTTACGAGGTCGCGGAGCCAACGTAGGTCAACTTCCACTCGAGGTCTGGAATTTGTTAGTGACAGTGGCGGATATGCACATTCGGGCGCACTTGCCCTTCTGTAGTTGCTCAAGACACTCGAAGGTGATCTCAAACTCGTATGGCTCGTCAAAGCGCGCGGGGTTGTTCTTAACCTCGACACCGAGGAGCGAAACGACAGACATCTTGGAGTCGGGGGGTAATTGATTGGAAACAACCGCAGGTGGCACGAGTGATTTGGGTAATGTGATGGATTTGGGAGTCGAGAGGCGTGCGTGGTGGGGATTCTGCAAAAGGCGGCAGGAAAAGGTGTTTGTTATGGAAGCGGTGAGGACGTGCGTTAGAGAGATCGCGGCGGCAACGATCAGTGGATCATTGTCTTTAGGCCTGTCGCGGGTCGCGTCCTTTGAAAACGTGACCAGGCGTTACGCGTTCGCGTCGAGCTTGTATGCTCTTTGTCCCCCGCATCTGGAAACAGATGAGACGAACTGGTCAGGCGCAGTATCGCTCCTTGCTTGATTCCGAGCCTACCAGTTACCCATGTTATGATAGATTTCGTGCTTGATTGACCTTGGTAGGTACTTAGTAGCGAGACTTGGATCCAGTCGACTGCATTAGCCTCACTGGCTCCAGGAACGTCGCACATACGGTCAACGTTATACGTAGTCTTTGGTTGGAGGACAACACCATCTCCTTGGTTTGATGCGCGACTCTCTGTGTAGTGTTGAGGGATACCATTGGGCCAGATCTCATAATGGTCGGCTTTTGCATCGCAGGCGTTGGTTCAGAGATATATAACCCATAGTCTCCGTGCATACCTGATAAACGCCTGGAGACTACAAGCCACGTGGAAGCTTCCACTGTCATGCCCACAGCCTCGTCTTTGCAACCAAGGTAGATTGAGTTTGGTGGGACATGGGACTGAGCCAATGACGCTGACATAGACTAATCAGCCATAGTCAGTGCTTCACCAAGAGCCAAGGTGGGGCTGACGGTCTTACTAGGTCGCAACAAAGCTGCCAACACAGTCACCACGAAACAGTCGTCCAAGCATCTGTGATTCAGGGAGGAGGAAAACTTCCAAACGCACGATTCTCTAGAGATTTGACATTGTCCGCAGCTGCTGGACAGTCTGGGTCCTAGGTACCTGCAGCATCCAGCAATCCCGATTCCTAGCTAGGTCTCATATCAAGTTCCACCTGCACTATCATCTAGCTGTCGAAAAGGTAAGGAACAGACAACCAACCATTACTAACGTATGATGCGCCCTGCTTGATACCTTCCGTCTCGCTAATTGCTGCACAAGCTGTACGAGTCTGGGATCTTACGTCCGTAAGGAACCGATCCTTCCACCACTGGGCTGTAACAACACCTCAGACATGTCCAGCCCATCGTTGGCGAGCCAAAATGGTTCTCAACCTTCTCCACCAGTTGTTGCCGATAAGACGACTCATCAGCCGCCGCCGCGCGTTCGTCGTCGCAACCGGCTCATTACTTCTTGCCTCGAATGTAGGCGTCGGAAACTAAAATGTGACAAGTGTCATCCGTGTGCACACTGCACCAAGAACGCACGTCAATGCGTCTTCATCGCCTCCGGGCTTGACTCAAACGCCCAGGCAAAGCTCGCTGAGGTGAAGGAGCAGATGGGCCGTTTGGAGAGGAGCCTCGAAGAAGATGTCGCACGCAAAACGGAGGCGAATACTCGAAGCCCTTCTGATTTTTCCAGGGTCAGCGCACTGCCTGGCCAAGAGCAGTCTAGTGACAAAGAAGACGATGAGGAGACTCAAAATTTGCGACCGACGCATCTCGTTACCGAAGATGCTACTTACTATGAGCCCGACGACGATGTCAACCTTAATGAAGATATAGACGATCTGGGCTTTCGCATGGGCCGAATCAGAATCACAGAACGCATCGGAGGACTTGTGCGCCCAAGATTTTCCGATGAAGTGAGTTCACATTTGTTTGACATGTACACCTATACTGACAGAGCTGCACTAGCTTACTCGGGCACTTAATGAGCTGCCAGACTCAGAATACCCTCCTCAGATTAGTACCGGAGAGGATCCTGCAGATTGGTTAGCACCTACACAGGATTATGTTGCCCCGTCTTCAAATTTCATGTTGACATCGACAATCAATCAAACATATCTTGAGGCTCATCTGCCCTCACGAATGGTGGTTGACGAGTTGCTCGCTCACTATTGGAACTTTGTTCATATTGTAGCCCGAACAGTGCATCGCCCTTCATTCGAGCGACAGTATCAGAACTTCTGGATCAGAGTCAACATGGGCACGGAGCCTCGTTCATCTTTCCAAGCCGTGCTCTTTGCAGCATTATTAAGCTCAGTCGTCTCCATGACTGAGGATGAGGTGCGCGTCAAGTTTGGCATGGAAAAACGAACAATGGTAGACAGCTTCCGTGAAGGAACCGAAAAAGCACTTGCTAAAGCCAACTTCCTCCGCACTACGAAATTGGAGACCCTCCAAGCATTTGTGATGTACCTTGTAAGTCTGCAAATTCCCAGAGAGATCTAAGTATTACATCCTAGCTTTTGCCGCTCAAATCTGCAAGACTAAGCTTACATTGGTTTACAGATCCCCCTTTGTCGCAACGAAGTATCCCGCTCACACTCTGCGCTCACCGGATCACTTATCCGCTTAGCCGAGTGCATGGGTTTGCACCGGGATCCAACAGCGTACAGTTCCTCGCCGGTCGAGATTCAAGTACGGCGCCTCTTGTGGTATCAAATCTGTTTCTTGGATCTCCGGACATGCGAAGCTGTTGGCCCTCGTCCACAGATTCGGCTCGAGGATTATGATACCCGCTTCCCACTGAACATCGATGACATTGATCTCGACCGTGCCGAGCATGGTGACAGCAGCGTAGACGTCAGTAAAGATCGCAAACACTTTACCGACATGACGATTTGTCGTATGCGATTTGAAGCGTACGAGATGCATCGTTTTCTTTGGAGTGAGCGACCAAAACTCGATCGTAAGCGTGCCGACGGGAAACGCGAAATCACAATCACCTCCATTCTGTCACGTGTTCAATCTTTTCAGTCTGCTATGGAAAAGAAGTATGTCCCCATGCTGAACCGCTCAGAGCCATTACATGTTTTGGCGTCAGAACTATATGGTATCGTTTCGAATCGCCTCTATATCTCGGTCTTACAGCAGTATATCACTTCTGCCCGCAGCAGGATGCCGGAGCGCCTACGACAGCTGACCATGAGCGCAGCAACCATGATCTTAGAACATGGAATGGCAGTCGAGCTGCACCCCGTCCTATCCTCCTGGTCATGGATCGTCGGGGCCCTCCACCAACACCACTGCGCGCTCCTCCTCGTGAACGAGATCTATATAGCAAATCCAGAGCCCGCCATGGAACAGCGTATCTGGAGGTGTCTAGACTACTCGTTCAAACTACCATCAGGCATCCCAAATGTCAAGAAGACAAGAATGATTCTGGAAGAACTCATCGGAAAAACGAGAAAGTACTCAAACCTGAAAAGAGTCCGAGTCCCGTCCAACATGCCACAACCGTGCTCAGAGCCTAGACAACGAGTGCAGAGGGAAGATAGAGAGCGCAGTGGAAGCACGCAATCGAACCTGAGCACTCTTGGTCCTCTCTCACATCCATTGAACAGAAACATGGTTACGCAAAACTGCACGCCGCCACCACGACCGCAAAGCCCACCGGCTGGATCCACATTAGCAGCCGGGCTCAACACATTCCCTGGTGCCATACCGCTTTCGGATTGGGGTACCTTTGGTATGCCAGCGTCTGTACCCATGTCTCCTTTCGGTGGTATCACACCCACCAATTGCTCTTTGGTGCCCGGTGCTGCACAGCAAGGTGGAAGCGATGCCGACAGTCCCAACTCGGCTATTTACAGAGGTGATGGAATGGCTGGGAGGCCAACATTCGGTAATGCTTTGGATGCCATCAATGACATCGATTGGGTATGTGACATCCTCTCCCACTGTACTACCCTTACTGACTATTATGCAGAATGACGTCGAGAAAATGTTTGGTGGTGCTGAGGTTGGGGCAGGCAACATGATCATCCCACCTTTTGCCTTTCCGTCGTTTTCGACTTCGGATTTACAGTGGTCAGCGCAAGATCGGACAGAGTGAGAGATGGGTATAGGGTTGCCGCTGCTGATAAGAGCACCACAACCTACCGGTTCTTCTACATACGACCATAGGATCTTGAGAGCAAGGCTTCCCGTTCGCTCAGCCCTATTTAAGCAAGATACCGGCGGATTAGTAGTTAGGTGGGTGACCACTAGCGAATCCCCGCTGTTGTATGTTTTTGGATCTCGAGGCCTTCTTTTTGCGACTGACCTGAATGTCGCACAAGGCGTATGAAGGACAGTACCAAGATATTTGTACAACACGATATGAACTACTGCATTGTGACTGGTTCTCTCTTCGATTTTTCTGAAATTGCCAAGTTTTACGCCCGCCTGCGAAGATGCATGTTCATATGATACAGCGAGCCGACTGCAAGAACCAAGATTATAGTCGTTGGCCTGGTGGAAGGTTGAGTCTTTCCTAAATGCAGCGTTGGTCTGGAACTCTGGCATAACGAAGCTCGGAGGGCAAGAAGCTTCCTACAGATTTGGTCTTCCCGAATACCATGTTCGGAAAGGTATGAACCCTGCTGGGTCTTTTGTATCTTACAAGCAACGTATCTCAGGGCGTATGATCGATCAGCTGGGAACTACGACGCCCTCAAAGCACATGTTGCCAATATTTCAAACTGATTCACTCAATCGGATCGTCTTCTCGGTTTGCCACTTTGTTACAATTTGTCAAAGGCTATACAAAAGCCAAAATACGTGGCAGGGTCTAGAATACTAAAGTATGTGGGAACGTTGAACTTTCCCCCGGAAGGCAACCACCAATTGTTCATTTGTGTCGTCTCGGTACCTGTGTAAGGTTTGCTTGCGAGCTAGGGCTGATGGATTGACGGCACGGAACGAGACCCGGCGGTAGCGTAAGGTTCAGGTACGACATCATAGTGTATCAAGAAGGTCGATGCAGATGCAGATTAGACAAGACCCCTGTTAGACATTGCGTTTCAGGACCCAGTCGAATTGCGTTGGACGTTGTTCTTATCGCGAGGTATGTGTGGGGTAGCAGCCGCGGGTAAAAAGGGTTTCGAGATTGACCTCGAGGATAGCGAGTGATATTCACGTGCAAGGAACTACTAAGATGCGTGCTAGTGGGGTATTTGTTGCACCAGTATTTGGAAGAAGGGTGGCGCGGTTGCTCGCTTGCCGTTCCCAATTCTAACGTGCCAAGGATAGGGTTCACGCCAGAAGACGCACCCAGAAGTTGGACATGTGAAAGTACGTATGCAGGCGTAGATATATCTGTATGAACTGCATGCAGAGCATGTGCTGATTTGGGAAATCAACACTCGATGCTATGCTACTCCTGTTGAGTTGTGGCGCGGCCACCAAACGCGATCGTGGAGGGTATAAAGTTTCGGCTATCGCGAACGGACATGGTTTCTCGCCGGGCCTTCCTAAAAGCATTTGGCCGCAGTGCGGTAAGTTTAGCTGTGAAGAAGAACAAGAGGTGCGATAACAGGGGCTATTGGATGTGACGAATGGTGCATGATAAAGCGAGCAAGCGCGATACACGACTGATGGTTGGTTCAGTATGCCGGTCCGGTCTTGGTACATTGGAATGATGCAGCGTAAACATATAGCCGGCGCGACAAAGAAAGTATGCGTGTGGATTACTCAAGATATGAAATTCATCTTAAGTGAGCGGAGCAGCTGGCCAGGAGCAGAAGGTCTATACTACAGCTTGTAAGACGTTTGCGGGTTGTGAAAGGATGTTCCCTGTGTGCGGGAGTTTTGCAGGGCACATGTGCAGGCTCGGAGATGTGTACCGCTTAGCGAAGCCTAGTATACAACGTGTCTGTGGTTGTGATGAGTTGTCCCTCAGGGGTTCCACGGTGTAGACTTGTGCCGTTGGGCGAAAGCACGATGCTTTTCTCCACCAGCTTGGCGGGCAAAAGAGCCAAAGCATGCAGGAAAGCGGAGTTTGTGGATTGCCCGCAGGAGGCGCGACCCGTTGTCTCAGGCCCTGCTGCAGGCCCCCGGCAATGGGTACCTCTGTACTTGGTGACGCGAAACACCAGTCGTGGATATTGTTTGCAAGTCAGTGTCGCTCGCAGGCGTGGTGGGAGCTGGTCAGGGCTCGGGGGGGTCCAAGACATTTTGACTCGTAGTCGCGACCATGTTGGTTGTGTCGGTCGTGGGCGTGCAGGGGTGCGAGGGACAAGGTTTGGATCTTGTGCACCTCCATCTCAAAAGTTGCTAGCTGCCTCTCTCTCCTGCATTGGGGCCAGCAGCGCTTGCTTGGACTCTGCACGCGTCTTGCGACCGCGCGACCGCGTCCGACTCTCTCCCATCCGACTACCCCTGGGGTTCGAGGCTTCGAGTGACGATCCTGCGTAGTGCTCGCGCGTGGCTCTTTTCGGCCTCGTCCTGCAACACCACCAACATCGCGGTTTGGAACCCCTGAAGCCCCCGCCGCTCTCTCGTAAAGTTAGTTTAGACCGACGTTCCTCTGCGCGTGTCATGCGACTGCAAGACGCCTTGCTCCACCCCTAGCATCTTGTGCCGCAAGCCGCTGGCTTCCCAGGAACGAGGAACGGGGCGCCCACGCAGCATCGCGCCATTGACCTGCATCGTCACCTGTCGGTGCAATCTTCTGTCACGGCAACATCTGGGCTCGGCGGAGAATGCTCCTGTGCCCAAGTGTGGGAAGGTCCTCGACGCAGACATTCATTCGCATAGCCCGCAGCCCGCCATGGCCGACTACCCGCACCACCATGGCCGCCCATCCACGCCCACTGGCTCCCACACAACCTACAGACCAACCGGGTCCATGCGAGCACTCAACACCGACCAGCCCAAGCACGAGACCTTCTTCGACGATGCCACACCCGTAGACGCCTTCAACAACGACCACCCCAAGCACGATCCGCTGCGCGACTCGCACGATCTTTCCTTCGCCGAGGGCGGCAATGTGAGAGACTCGGTCGTCGACAATATGCTGCTCTCGCTCGACCAGTTCGCGACCGGCAATCTGTTCGGGAGCTCAGGCCCGCAGTACTCGAGCTATGCCGACGACGACTTCTTCCTTCGCGACAACTCGTACCGCCCGCCCGGTGCCCGCCATCGCGGCCACACGTACACGTCGTCGCGCTCCTCCGACTACGACCTGAACCCCGACGACCACGCTCGATACACAGCCCACCACTCGCGCGCCCGGCGAAGCAACAGCAGCAACAACATCGGCACTCCAGTCCGCCGCAAGGGAAGCACGCGGGACATGTACACAGCGAGGCAGCAAGCCACCCAGTATGGCCAGCTCCAACAGGCCGGCCATCTGCGGGGCAACAACAAGAAGGGCAGCATGGGCAGCGGCTCCTCAAGCATCGACTTTGGCCAGTCCGGCATCTTGGGAAACCAGCGTCTTGGTTTTGGGAAGCGTTCGGCCAGTTTTGATCATAGCAATGCAAGCGACCGAGGGAGAATTTCACCCATGCGAGTCGAGTCTGTCCTAGATCGAGGCAGGGTCGCCTATCAAAACTACCCAGATGAATACGATGCGGCCCCCGAGCCCACCATTCCCGCCGGCCCTCGAAGGGTCCAGGAGCCACCGCAATCACCCCTCGCTTTCCCCCCTCAGCCATCGTACGCCGCACCACAGGCACCTCGGCCGGGCCGTAGAGGCAGTGTCCGCTCCAACACGAGCTACAGAACTTTGCGAAAGAACAAGAGCCAGCCAGGACCAAGCATGAGGGCCCAGGCCCAAGAGTTTGTCAATGCCAGCACCTTGCGAGAACTGCCTCCTGTACCGTCATGGCACGATCCTTCTGCTCCATCGCCATCCGTGGGTTCACGAAGTCCACTGTTCCCTCCCCAGGCTCCAGCAGCGCCAAAGCCTGGCTTCTTTCGCCGAGTGTTTGGTGGAGGCTCTTCCAAGTCTACACCACAACTGTCTGCTGCCTCAGCTGGCCCTAACTCGTCACAAGAAAATTCAGCCCCTGTCTCCAGTAAGCCCCAACCGGCCGATGTCAACTCCATGTACTCTGCCGCACGACCGCGTACAACACCGAGCAATGGCAGTCATATTGCTTCCCAGATAAAATCGCTGCCAAAAGCCCCCCAGACTGCCAACCCTGCTCAAGGGGACGCACAAGCACTACAACCACCAACGCTTGGCAAAAAACCATCATCCTTCTTCCGGCGTCGAAAGAAGTCTATTTCTGAAAGCACGAAACCCCCCGTCACGGCTCTCGAGTTTATTCAGCCAGCCAAGCCGGTACTACCCCCACAACCCAGCCCCGGAGTTAGTAGTCTGCGACAAGTTATGAACCCCTACCTCAATGACGCAGGGCGCACTGGTGACAGAACACTAGAAGCGCGGGATGAGCAGTCGGGTGACGCTTCTACGAATGGATTCTCACCAAACTATAAACCACACAAGGATGCAACAGTCCGCGCCATCAAGTCAACTTCACGTGGGGACGATCAGACACCTCCTGCATCTCGAGGAGAGCAGTTAAGAGCTTCTGAAATGACCAGCACAGGAAGTCCCAAGCTGAAGTTGAAATTGAAGCACGCGAAATCTCCCACTCCGACTCAGCAGGAGGACACTTTCCTTGCGGATAGCAGCAGCTGCAACGAGGATCGCAGTGGTCGCGCAACGCCAACAGGCGATTACAGCGGTACCGAGGAAAAGAGACCGAGCACAGGACCCACTTCCTCGTTACTCAGACAATCTGAAGCAAAAAGCAATCGCAAGCCCAGTGGCGACCATCGGGCCGAGCTCCTGTCTCCTCATGACGACCCTATTTGTAGACGTGGGTCAGCATCGCAGTCCGCTTCAGAAGTTGAGGACGAAGGCTGGGTCATTACCGAATCAACTGACAGGGTGCACCGAACTGACAAGAAGAGCCCAGCTGCGAAGCGCGTGTGGCTTGATACCACACTACCCGACGCACTCATCGATACTACCGAAGACCTCAAGTTGCCCTTAGAAGGTGCGCGATCATCTCAGCAGTCACTCGACAAGGTCTCGCCAGACGCCAATACCCCAACCTCACCTAATGACGTCTTCCTCTCTGCTACCAGTCTGCCCATAGTGCAGGTTGAAAGTCGCGATTCCGACACCATGCCCGCTGTTGTCGAAGACCGATCGATGCACAGCGAGCCCACTGATGCAGAGCGTGAACGTGCATTCCAGATTTACAGCGGCGATGATTCCTCTAGTCTGAAGGCCCAAGCGGCTACCTTGTTGGGCGATGTCAGCTTGTCCAGCACGCGCATGCGAAAGGCCTTTATGGACCTCTTTGACTGGACAGGCATGAACGTCTTGGCTGCTATGCGTGACCTTTGTGGCAAAATCATTCTCAAGGCCGAGACTCAGCAGGTTGACCGCATTCTTATGAGTCTTTCAGAGCGCTGGTGTGAATGCAACAGCAGCCATGGCTTCAAGGCAGTCGGTAAGTAGCTCACTTTACTATGAAGAAACACTCAGCTGACCTACAACAGATGTCGTGCATACTATTTGCTATTCCATCCTGCTGCTCAACACAGATTTGCACTTGGCTGATATCGAGTCGAGAATGACACGAAGCCAATTTGTCCGTAACACACTCCCTACAGTCACTCGCGTCTGTCAAGATTCAGTCAAGGCTGCAGGAGAAGAGACGCTAAGGCCACATTCCACTCACTTTCGAAGACCATCCCTGCCATGGAATGAGAAGTCAGAACCCAGCTCGCCGGGTGCTGACGCTACTACATTCTCTGCGGACGTGGAGGAGCCTCCGGAGGCTAGGAAAACCCGCAGTCGTCTCTCCATCCGACCTCCTGCTAGAAGTGGCTCAGAAGGTCTACTTTCCTTTGACTCTGCAGTATCCGAGTCTAACACACTTGTCAACTCGCCATACAATGGTCCTATGCGAGGATGGGAGTTCCAGGTCGAGACGGTGCTCAAAGAGTTCTACGATTCTATTCGTAAACAACGCTTGCCCCTCCATGGGTCTTCCGAACCTGTTGTTCATCACCAGCCTTCGTCCAACAACCTCTCCGTCAGCAACATGCTCCGTCGCACTCCCAGTGTGTTGAGCAAAGCACCGTCCGACAACACAAGCTACCGTGGTCGATCCCAAAACGATTTCCGCAATGTGGGTAGTCGATGGGCCTCTAAGAACCGCTCAAAGCAAAGATTGTATCCTTCATCCACCGTGGCATCTAGCCGAACCAGTCTGGACGACGGATCAGTATGGAGCCCCGCCGGATCCAGCTCTTGGAGTCGTTATTCGTACGGCAAGACCGGTACTTCCATGTCGGTGGACTCACTGGGCTCACACTTTGCGCATGGCGACTATCAACAGGCTATCGGCTTTGCCAATGCTCTTAGTCAAGCCATCATCCGCGAAGAGGGCATGACTATTGCTAGCGATGAAGAATTCTCCCGCGTGGCTCCGTTGTTAGAAGACGAGACACTCGAGCTTGTTGGAGCACCCTGGGCCAAGGAAGGTATCCTCAAGCACAAGCGACATCTTGATTCAGTGGATAGGAAGGCAAAGGATCGAGCGTGGAATGAATGCTTCGCTGTTGTCGAGAAAGGCTGTATGCGTTTATTCTCTTTCAGCATGAACTCCAAATCTGTTAGGCAGAAGAGCAAGCTACGACCATCTGCTGGTGGTGTTGTAGGAGGTGGCAACTGGATGGACAATGCGGAAGCTTTGGACAGCTTCCCACTCCGCCAGACTATCGCCAGCGCGCTACCTCCTCCAGGATACTCGAAAACAAGGCCTCACGTATTCGCGCTTTCACTCCCTACAGGAGCAGTTCATCTTTTCCAAGTTGGAACGCCTGACATTTGTCGAGAGTTTGTGTGCACTGTCAACTACTGGTCGGCTCGTCTGTCCAAAGAACCTCTCATGGGTGGTGTCAGCAGCATGGAGTACGGTTGGGGTGAGAATGTCATTAACCCAGCTCTGATCCGTCAAGACAGTGCGCCATCAGTGCAAGGCCATATGCCCCGTCCGAGTGTCACAAGCTCCCTTCGTAGTTCGATGGACCATGCCACCGGCACACCAAAGCCCAGACTTCCCGGAGACAAGGTCATCTTATCGGATTGGAGCCCACCAGCATCAAGCATGATGGCTAGTACCCTGATGGAAGTGGATCAGCTTAGAGCTCTTACCGACTATGTTAAGAACATCGAGAACGAGCTCGCTCACCACAACGAACTCAGAGCGCCATTGCTCATTGCCGTAAGTATCGCCTTCCCGCTTTTCCATGATCATGACTAAGACACAATATCAGTTTTCGCCTCGACACCCCAATGCTCAGAAGGCCATGGCCAACTGGGAGCGCAAATCGCAATACCTTCTCAGGGAAATTGTGAAATTCCGGACCTACATTGACACTCTAGCAACTGCACAAGCGCAGAAGCAAAAAATTTATGCCGAGCGCGAAGCTCGTGAACAACAAGAGATGGAAGAGTCAGAAAAGGAAGCAGTCGCTACTCCGAAGGCCAGTGAAGATGATGGTGCGAATGAAGCTTCCGAGCCTGCTCCATCCAAGACCATGCCAAACCCAGCTCTACCAGCAGCTTTCCTTTTACATCCCTGATCGCTGCCTTTCTGATTCTGGCATATACTGACGATTGATTTCTTTGTTACGAATAGTTACTCCTCTGAGGCGCACGATACGGCGTTTGCAACTGCTTCATTCGTCAAAGCCGAGTTTGAGACAGCGGCCGCACTCGGTGGCCTGACATCTTGTTGTACCTATTGTAATATGTACGATTTCTGTACGTTCGGCGCCTTGAGCAGTTTCTTTTTTTTTTCCTAATCACCTTTTCAGTTTAGTATGTTACTGCTTCATTCCAACGAACAAGACGATCAACCGCGAAAGTCATTTTGTATGGGACGGTACTTTGTGTACGATTATATTCGCTCTCAGCCATTATCAAGCTTGGGAAGATTGATGATGCATTATGGTTTTTATGGGATGGAGCTTGGTTCTTTGCAGTTATCCATTAGAAAGGGTGGAAGAGCACGATGAAGAAGCAATTGTTCAAACATTATACCCCACGTTTTCGAATAGCATACTTTCGATACTAGCTCTTGTTCCTTGGCTTTCTTGACATGGGTATGCGTGTCTATTTCTGGTGTGTTAATGTAGCATACATGACAGCTAGGAGTAAACGCACGTGGTTTGTCGCACAGCTTGCATGCGTATACACCGATTGACGAACGGCATCTCGTTACATCGCCCTCAGCCACTCTACATACCCTAGTCTTGAACAACGCACATGGCGACGATAGCTCAAAGTGCTGTAGCTTACTATTCAATGTAACTCCCATAGCCACCACCACGACATCAATGATGCTATTCAAGAAGCTCATTGCGCCCATTTCGAACTACTACTGCAGCTAGAACAACAGCGCGCGACAGAAGCGCAGCAGCGTTACGCCGAACACATTCGTAGTATCTATTCTTCTCCCAATCATCGTGTCTCGAGCCAAAATACCATTCGGTCCTCGCCGTTGGCGTGCAGCGTTCTGCGCAAGCCACACGAGGGGCTAGATTGCCCTAGCGCCAGCCTTTGAAGACAGGGTGCAGCAGCCAGCGCTTTGGTGTGCTTTGGTGTAAGGACCTGAACTGGATGGAAGAGTGCCCCAAAGGCTCCTTGCCACTACGCAAAGGTGGGATCGTGTAGACGATGACAGGACGGTTTGAGAAGAGGCTGATGGCACAGCATGTAGCCAAGTGGTGTTGTATGCCTATCGCGTTACAGGCCGCATTCGGCGGGGCGCATGATGCTGTGTAGGAGATGTGGCTAGGGGCAGGGTAAATTGTAGATGGCTGAAGTAAGGGCCGATGGGTTGGTTTCGGAGATGGACTGGGATGACAGAGTACCTATGTTGGAGGGTTTGGAAGGAAATGAGATGAGAGACTTTGCGATGGGTAAGCACATAGGAATGCAGAAGTATAGATAGCAATTAGAGTCGCAAAAGCAAGAATGTCATGACCGAATGTCGCCCAAAGTATTGCAATCCCTCCCATATCCAGAACAGATGGCGTACAACAGCATTAGTCGAGCCCAGCTCCAAGGAAACAGATCTGCCCCTAGTTGGACCCACCCTGGCCCTAGGGATCGTCGGTGTTGCCGTCTCGCGTACGAGACCGGACGAGCTAACTAGCCTTGTAGCTCGCTGGCATCGTGGCATCCCACGCGACCCCATGTCACGAATGGCAGAAAGAGGCTTCGACGGGAAGAGGAGGGACGAATTGGGCATGACGGACTGTTTGACGAATGGGAGGGCTACTGCGACGGGAGATGCGGCACTGGGGACTCGTCGTGCCTTGGGCCTTTTCCGTCTTCTTTCATCTCCGTAGCGACTTATTTCCATCGTGCACGCCCCTAAATTGTCTGGATCCCCTACTGCTCCTAGAGATCCTCAGTCGTGTTGCCTATTGTCGAAATTGGTCTTGCCTACCCAGACATCTGGAGTCGAGTGAGATTTGAAGAGGCCCACGGGTTTGGAAGCTTGGATGCAATAGCTTTGTCAGAGTTCAGCCTTAGCCATCCTTACCAGCCAAACCCCGCGCTACTACCGCATCTCTCGACGTTACCGACGCACCGTCAGCCGCACTCTATTACAGGACTGACGACGGCTTTCTTTCGCGTCTTATTTGAAGCAGTGAAGAGCGCGCTCCCAAACGGGCATTTGATCTCCCATCGTTCACGGCTATTCGGCATCTCTGCCTGAACGCGCGCACTTTGGAAGAAGCCCCGACCTCAATCGCACACTGTAACTCGACATGTCCTACTATCCCGGCCAGCAATACCACGGCGGCGGTGGCTACGGCGCTCCTCCACCGCCTCAGAATGGCTATGGTGGCCCGCCTCCGCAAGGATACCCGCCTCCACAGCAGAACTACGGTGCTCCGTGAGTAGAGAATGACGAGTAATGCTCCACGGGTGCTGACGGATACCAGTCCTCCACAGCAATATGGATACCAGAGCCCGCAACCACCCTACAACAACAACTATGGTCAACCTACGCCGCCTCCGCAGCAGTATGGATACAACCAGGTACGCATATGGCATGCTGACAAGCAAATCATGGCTGGAGTAGAGGCTGATTTGCACAGGGACCACCACCACCACAGCAGTATGGCAACTACGGCGCACCACCTCCGCAACAACCTCCCCGTCCAGGCATGATGCCCACAGCCAACAGCAATCAATGGACACATGGAAACCACAACGCGCCCCCACCACCGCCCTCGGGCGCACAGAACTTCGGCCATGGCGCACCCAACGGCTATTCGTTTCAATACTCGGCATGCAATGGTCGACGGAAAGCCCTCCTGATCGGCATCAACTACTTCGGCCAACGAGGACAGCTTCGCGGTTGCATCAACGATGTAAAGAACATGAGCACCTACTTGAATGAGTTCTTTGGCTACAAGCGGGAGGACATGGTCACCTTGACCGACGACCAGCAGAACCCCATGAGCCAGCCGACTAAAGCCAACATCTTGAGAGCGATGCATTGGCTGGTCAAAGACGCAAGGCCAAACGACTCTTTGTTCTTCCACTACTCAGGTGCGCCTCTGCTTTTATACCGTGCTGCTTTCATCCATGCTAACTCACACTAGGCCACGGCGGTCAAACCAAGGATCTCGACGGCGACGAAGATGATGGCTACGACGAGGTCATCTATCCAGTGGATTTCCGCACGGCCGGTCACATTGTCGACGACGAGATGCACCGTATCATGGTCACACCCCTTCAGCCCGGTGTGCGACTCACCGCCATCTTCGATTCTTGTCATTCCGGCTCCGCCCTTGACCTGCCTTACCTCTACTCCACCCAAGGTGTGCTCAAGGAGCCCAACTTGGCCAAGGAAGCTGGTCAGGGTCTGTTGGGTATCGTGGCGAGCTATGCGCGTGGCGACATTGGCAGCATGATTGGTGGTGCCACAAGTCTGTTTAAGAAGGCAGTGAATGGAGATGAAGTGTACAAGAAGAACCTAAGAACGAAAACTAGCCCTGCGGACGTAATCATGTGGAGTGGATCCAAGGATACGCAGACTTCGTAAGTCTCTCCCCAACCCACCTCTAGATTTAATGTAGGCAATACTAATGCTGGACACTTTACAGGGCCGACGCAAGTATTGGTGGAGAAGCTACGGGAGCTATGTCTTGGGCTTTCATCTCTTCGCTCCGCAAGAATCCTAACCAAAGCTATGTACAACTGCTCAACAGCATCCGTGATGAGCTACAGGGCAAATATGACCAAAAGCCTCAATTGAGCTGCAGTCATCCGTTGAGTGAGTGCTTTCCCATACCTCGCTATGAACGGGAACGGCAAACTGATTGAAATAGATACCGATTTGCTGTACGTCATGTAGACGTGTTTTCTCCGCAGATGAGGCTATAATTCCGGATTTGGTCGTAAGGAATACTGTCTGACAGAGTGATACCATGACGCACCCATCCTTGGATGAAGAAGAAGTAGTAGTTGGGTGCAAAAATGCATTTGATCATGATCGAGTATAAAACTTCTTTTGTATATACTTGGGGACGAGATACGACGGCGTTTCGAACAGGTCATTTGCAGTCATTGGGATAGGGTGATCTTGGGGTAAAAGGATTCGTTGTTCATTGCCATAGGGTATCGAACTTTCTTGTCTATCAAAGCTCGTCGACATGTATCCCTCTTGTAGCGCCATCGCTATCCATTATCATCGTTAATCATGATGCAACCGTATACTTCTGTGGTTCTCAAAGAGGCCTCAGAGCACTCCCTCAAAAGGGTATCTTGACTTCTCACCTGCTCACACCCTAAACATCAGCCATCTCCTCATCAACCCAATCTCTCCAACTCCTCCACTCGCCCCAGCCCAACCCCACCTTCTTCCCCTGGTACCTCACAATCCTCAACGAAACCTTGTTCCAATCCGCCTTCTTGCCATTCCATCCAGCCTTCCTCATTAGACTAACCAGCGCTTCTTCCTTGGTCCACCCTTGTTCGCTCGCAACATCAGGCAGATACGTACTCCCGTAGCGTCTACCCTTTTCGTGGAAACTGATCCGCAAGCCATGTTTGCCAATCTCCCAATCCATGGCATCGTCAACAGGCTCAAAATCTGTGAGGAGAGTGACAGCACATTCGAGGGTTGGCAATTCGCGTGTGGTAATAGGCGAGAAACGCGTATCGTCGAACGCGGCCGTCAGCGCGTAGTCAGAGAGACCTTTCGTGAGTGGTTGTGCTTCAAAGGTCCCGATACAGCCCCGTAGTCGCTTGTCGCCAGAACGTGAGATTGTGTTCCACGTTACGAATAACGGATGCTCTTCTTCCTCCTCTTCCTCAGCTTCTTTGTCAGTCAAGTTTGTAGAACTGCTGCTCTGGCTTGTAAGACTGCTTGGTGTCTCGCTGCTAGGGCCACTGGGTGTCGAACTTGCGCTTTGCAGGCTTGAGGAGCTAGCTGACGAGGGAGGAGAGGCCAGGATGCGCGATATAGCGGCGGGTTTGTATGAGCCATCTGCTGATGCGGATACGGACGCAGACGCGGATGCAAGTGCGGCTTGTTCTGCTTGTTCTGCTTGTTCTGCTTCGGTCTCATCTTCGAGCTCAGAGGTTGTGGTGGGTTCCGAGTTATATTTCGCCCAGAGGTGCTCTACTTGGGCTAGAGTGAGAGAAGGACGCTTCTCGAGGCTTGCGACGAGGCTTTCGAAACAATATGCGCAGTGCGCTTGTGTAGCCATGGTGGGGTGTTGGAAGGACCGACGCTGACGTTCGATGGGAGCGAGTAGGCGGGGGTTTGAAGGGCTGGCTGGACGCACGGTCGGGGAGGACTAGATAGTGGAGAAAGAAGGATTGGAAATATGGCCTTTTGCAACATAAGACAGGAAAGAAGTATGACGGCTGAATCCGGGGTGTAGGGCTGCTAGCTGATCGGGTCGGGTTGCGGCAGGGCTGTGCAGTAACGTCAGGAACCGGAACGTCTCGGCCGACTTGCCTCCGCGGAGAGATTCCAAGAGCGTGACGATTGCCTGTCAATATATGGCGGTTGTGCACGCTGTCGCACCAATTCCGGAGGGCCGACGTAGTTACCACACAGAGAGAGAGTAATGTAACGGAGGTGGTGAGGCGCCAGAGATTACCCCGCCGATCCGGCAAATGGTACCTTGGGAAGGCGTCATCATCTGAAATGAACAAAAGAAGATGCACAATCTGGAGAGTAAAATGTTATTCATTGCGATACAACCGAATGTATACTATTTTGTGAGATACTATCTGCACAAGCTCCCTAAGAGATGCACCGAAAGTCCCAAAACTCTGATTCAACAGTTGGTATGTAACCCCATCTTCATGCACACGTACCTTACGGGGTAAAAGGTCGTGTGTTTGGTAATGATGGGGATGGTTGTTCTTGCCACGATAGATATTCCTTCAGCAGGTCGAGCATGGGAGAGCTCTGTTGCTGTACACACTAATGGCTGGGTTGAGGTTGGTGCCTCGTTGATCATGTCTCTCACTTACCTGAAGACGTTGCGAACGGTCAAACAGCCTAACACATCACTTGGACAGTCGCGCGCTGGTGGAACCGACCTGACTTTTCGACTTATTTCATTGCCACATTTCATGCCTGCGGTAGGCGTGAAGCCGCGTGCTCCAATCCCTTGAGTTCGAAGCTGTCATAGAAAGTCCGAATGCCATTGACGCCGACCAGATGTCTCATAAAGGAATCGAAAACCGCCATCGTCGCTCGCTCGTAATCGTATCGTCCTTTATGCCGCGTCGCGCTTGCCCTCCTTGACCTCCTTCTGTATAGTTGTTAGCGAGCCGCGTTTCCGTGTAGGAGTGAGCCGTCAGTACGCACCAGAGCGCGCATGGTGCCGTGAAGAGCATGCCTGTGGTTCCTCCTGAACTTGGGGTCGGTTCCCTTGAGCGAGGGGTAACGGTGGGTCTTGGGCTTCTTGATACTGCATTGCCATTGTATCAGCTTTTGGTTCTCAACAACGCATTCACGATCCTTCGCGTTGTAGATGGACTATCCGCGGATTCATGGCGCGTGCGATGGAGGAGGGTGATGCGTACCCGTTTCGGTGGTTCTTCTTGGACTGGTTGTGCTGGGACGAGTTCTTGGATTCTGCACAGTTGCATTAATATCTTGGCAGTAACAAGTGACTTGTTGTAGACGTACTGGCCATGGCGACGGTTGTTGTTGTCGATTTGGCTTTGTTGTATTGTCGAAGAGCTGATGTCGGAACTGGTCGAATTTGCGCTCTGTCTGTGGTCACCAGTAAGCGAGTAGTTACTGGCGCTAGTGCGTCTTGGTGCATAATCCCTGGCCCTGGCTTTGCACATCTCGCGCCATCACCATCACCATCATCATCGCCGCATCCAAGCTATGATCAACGCTTCCTACTAGTATCTACAAAGCGACTACACATATTTCATGGAGTGGTGGCCATAATACCACTCGTGCGGGCCTCGCGTTGTCGTCGCATCACCTTCTACTTCAGCGAGCACCACGGAAACGATGCCGTGACTAGCAGACACTCGCCCATCTCGTAAGGTGGTCTCATGAACAAGTCGGGTTCTTGAAAACCTATCAGGCTGTACAGGTATGTTCATGGATGTAGTGTTGACGTCTACGTTCTGTCTATCCAAATTGGCGTATGCCATCCATCTTCATCGTCTAGTGCCATCCTTGTTCGTAGATTCTTCGTCACTACCTTCTACCCAACCCATGGCATCCGGACATATCGTAGACCACATCTCTGAACACTGTGGAAGAGCCGTGTATTGCGAAAACGCCCAGAGTGCAGTCCCGACGTACCGCACCTGTCGTATGCAGAGGCTCAACTCTATCGAGTCGGCCCGCGACCATACTAAACACTAAAGGTATGCAATATGTTATGTGTTCTACTATGTTAGTGCAAAACACTGCGTATACTTCTAGAGTATACTAAAATGTAGGGTTGACACAGGTGTTGGGTCAATTCAATAAAAAGAGCTCCTTCACACGTGCTGTCTCAGCTGCGGCACTATTGTTTCCTTTGTCGCTTTGCCCTACCAACATTTCAAGTCATGCAAAGCTAGTCACCACTTTGACGTATCATGGCTTGTCCTTTGACGATCAGCGGAAAACGTGCGGCACTGTTCCATCACTTGGCTTGCTTCTTCCCCGCAAAGCGGAAGCGTAGCCGTTCACCGGGTGTTCAAGTCGGCGAAAGGCGACCTAATCTGATTGGCTACAACCATCAAGTTTCGTACACCCTTACTGATGTAAGAGGAATTGCATGCAGCTACAAAGCGCCTGTCACACAAGCATTACTACTATTTATCCTGCAACCCAAGTCTTAGCAAGCGCCGCGTCCTCTACCAAATCAACCATGGCGAATCTAGCGGAGAAACCATCGAGTTTGCCAGACAATAAGATCGAGATCATCAACGATACCCATGGAAATAACATAGACCCAATCGCTGAGAAGAAGCTACTTCTCAAGTGCGACCTTCGCGTTCTTCCGCCCCTCTTTGTCCTGTTTCTCTTAGCGTTTCTGGATCGTGTCAACATCGGTACAGTGATCCATTTCTAGTAACGTGTTCACTGCGCTAACATGCCTAGGCAATGCGAAGATACAAGGACTAGTAGAAGACCTGGACATGACAGGACCGCTGGCTTATCGCTATAATATCGCTTTATTCATATTCTTCGTTCCTTACATCCTTTTCGAGGTACCGTCAAACTTGATATTGAAGAAGCTCAAGCCTTCAACATGGCTAAGCTTGATCATGGTACTCTGGGGTGAGTTCTGATTATCTTTGTATATGTGTCATACTAATGATTATCAGGCCTCTCAACCATCGGGATGGGACTCGTGAACAATTTTGAAGGCTTGGTAGCCATGCGCATTCTGCTAGGCTTCTTTGAGGCAGGATTGTTTCCTGGTGTGTGATAGATTTACATTAGGACATGAGCTTCAAAACTAAACTTGCATAGGTTGTGTGTACCTCATCTCGATGTACTACAAGCGTTATGAGCTACAATGGCGCCTCACACTGTTCTTTACTGCAAGCATCATCGCCGGCGCTTTTGGAGGTGTAGGTATTCCCGCGTCACTTTGCGGCTCAGACTGACTTTCCCCAGCTCCTCGCATTTGCTATTGCTAAGATGGACGGCATTGCAGGCTATGGAGGATGGTAAGAACCCAAATCTACCAAATATATGCGGGGCAGACACTAACTCTGCAAATCAACGATATAGGCGGTGGATTTTCATTATAGAAGGTATAATCACAGTTGTGGCTGGTGTTGTTACAAAGTTCTGGGTCACAGACTGGCCCGAACAGGCAAAGTTCCTCAACGAGGAAGAGAGAGCTCTTCTCATAGCACGACTCAGTGCCGATACCGGTGATGCTGTGATGAATAGGCTGGACAAGAGAGCAGCGAAGAGGATATTTTCCGACCCTAAAATTTACCTGGGAACAGCTGCATATTTCGGTAAGGACCTTTGCTGTTCACTCCATCTACCTCTGCAGACATATGCTGACCATACACCCCCACGTGTAAGGAATTGTGAATACTGGCTATGCTGGGTCTTTCTTCACCCCAACAATTGTCAAAGAACTCGGCTACACCTCCGCCGCCGCCCAAGTACGGTCGATTCCCATCTTTGTGGTAGCGACTATCACTGCGGTCATCACGGCATGGCTGACCGATCGCCTCCGCCATCGCTACTGGTTTTGTATCTTCGGTCTCGTCGTCGCATCGATTGGGTACATCATGCTTCTTGCGCAAGGCAACCTCTCAGCTGGCGTCAAGTACTTTGCCCTCTTTCTCATTGTACCGGGTGGTTACATCACTCAGCCTGTTGTGCTCGTTTGGATGTCCAACCTTGTATCTGGACACTACAAGCGATCCGTCAGTTCTGCGATGCAAGTTGGGTTCGGAAACCTAGGAGGCATCGTGGCGAGCAACATCTTTTTGCAGAGTGAAATGCCGACATATCCGACAGGGTACGGAGTGAGTTTGGGTATGTTGTGGATTTGTGCATCGGCTTGCACGGCACTTTTCTTCATGGTAAAGTGGGAAAATGCGAAGAGGGAGAGGGGTGAGCGGGATGGGAGGCTGCAGGAGGTAGATGCCGATAATTTGGGTGATGACCACCCAATGTTCAGGCTCACGTCTTGAATTAAGGATGCGCGAGTTCAAGTCACTTTTATCAGCGATACACCCATCAGGTTTGCATTGAACAGAGTGAGCAGAGCGATGAATATGGCGTCCAGCGAGCATGTGTTCGGCGTCCTGTATGAATCCTCTGATTCGCGTGATGCGGATGTCATTCCTATAGTATCTGCCAGTCTTTGTCGGTGTCCATAGGACTCATTGCGGCGTCGGTCCAACCATCTTCGGATTCATGCCCAAGTTCGGTATCGGATTTGTCGACCTGGGAGGAAGGTGCCTCGTGAAACTCATCATCACTCGTTGACTTATCTCCTGCCGTGCCAAGCTCTTTGTGTAGAGCCTCATGAGCATCGTCTTGTTTATCCAAATTGTCTTCTTGAGTCTTATCGTCTTGAATTTCCTCAACGAACGTCTCTGACCGTGTTCTGTGCGGTACCGCACTCATATCTGCCAAGAACATCCTAGAATCATCGTATTCTCTAGTCTCTTCATTCCACTGGTTGCATCGAACGGCAATAATGACATCTTCTCTGTGTAGAAGGACACTGAACTCGCTCGCCGCACTGTAAAGTTTCATCTCATCATCCCAGATGTTGAGGTGCAGCATCTTGAATCCTGGTAAGTGTTGCAAGATGTATCCGCTTAGCTCCGAGTATGCTCTCCTAGTCGCAGCGTCGGAAGCATCTTCTTCGTAGGGTTGGACTAGAAGGGATAGACATGAGACATGTTGGCGGGCTGATACGCTGATGCTCTCCAACCACTTGTGTGTAGCATATGCCTGGTACCGTCCCCGCGGGCAAGGGCCTGTGAGGAAAAGGAAGTTCCGACTTCCATATGCTATTGGCTCCGCATCGTCGTGAATCTCATCCCGTCGGTCCTTCTCCTCTTTTGTCGCAGGCCTTAGCATATTGATTGGCCCGTGAGGGGCTTGTAATACCCATAGCTCTTCATGTCCTGTTTTGAAGCGGAGTTCGGGACCTGCACAACTGTAGCGGGTGTAGATGTGACCTGGCTCGTTTTCGTCTTGCGAAAGGAGATTGTATCTTGGACAACGGCAAATATCGATCTGGGTGTGTCCGACAAAAGTGGTGTTACTGGGATTCTCAAGATAAGGCCAATCCAGAGTGTAATTGAACGTCGTTACATCATCTGGTGTTGAGGGATGTGGCATTGATTGGATTGGGCTTTGGTACATAGCATCGGCTTGAGGAAAGGCTCCTGATCTCAGATGCGTGGTGATTGGATAGTACAAGTTCCGACTGAACTTAAGACTCCCTTACTGCAATACGATGTTGCCGCCCAAGTCAAAAGAAGGGAAGCAAGGGAGGTGGTGGTTGAATTCGGTTCACTTCCTTACTTTTTCGTCAAATTGCCCAAGCACGAGGCTGTTAATAGGTCATAATGCATACCGCTATTCTCACTACGCCGGAAATACCAGGCACGCCATAGGAGAGTCTGGCTAAGAATAGGCGAACGCGTTGACACAGCTGAGTACGAGACGGCGAGAGGAAACCAAAGACAGGTGTGGGGTAGGTCAGCGAAGGTGGTGGTGGTGGTGGTGTTGTCGGTGAAGTACATCAGAGCTCAGAAATGGGCATGGCGGGTGAGACGTGCATATAGGAGCTATTTGTGGGGTCCGGTGAACGACAAGCACATGTATGAGGTGAGGGCCTGGCACGGATAGTGCACTTCCGCGCATCTTGTTTATGCAGAGGTGTGTCTAGAGGCGAAATGGTAGTCAGACAAGCGTGGAGTCGATGATCCGGTGTCGATGACAGCGCAGCAACGTCATTGGTCCATGCGTGATGGATCACCTGGGTAAGCGTCACGATCACAGAGCCTCGCGACATGCGCGCCTCTGTTGACGCGCCATGTCATAACAAACAACAATCCGCTGTGTGGATGACCCTCGCCCGCTGTCTTGATGGCCGAGACTGGGAACGCTGAGCCCAGCTCGCCCACGACGCCGACGCAGGAGAGCAGCAATGGTTCGGCCAAGTCGATGACAGGGGAGCCGATTGAGCAGCAGGACTTTGCCAATCCGACGCTCAGTATAATACGAAGCTTCTCGCGCAGCACCTCTACAGGCTCGCTGGCGTCAAAAGAAGAAGCCCCGCCGCCACTGCCACCACGACCCGGACTCGGTCTGCTATCCCGACCCTCGACGTCGCACTCTACAGCGCCCGGGAGACCACAGCTCCTTTCCAAAGCCACCACACAGCTGTCCGTGGCGAGGACACAGGCATTTGCCACAGACGCCAAAGATGAGTCGCCAACGTCCTCTGGGCCCAAGCCGCGCGACGTCGTGGGCGCAAACCTAGGCTCTCATAACCTTAGCGACGCCGACGACAGCGCGAGCATACGCAGCTATGCGCCAACGATAGAGGCAGCAGGGTACCAGGAGAGCATACTGGGCGAAGTCATGGGCCAGGTTGAAAAGTCGGAGCAAGAGAAGTCGCTGCTCAGGACATTGCGTCACAAATTCGTCGATGCCGAAGCGCAGGGCATGTTTCCCCCAGATCCGCATTTCGAGGCAGCTTTCCATCGCGAGTTTGACGACGTCGACGACATGGCTATGGATGGATCGAACGAAGGTCAGACGCATGGCATGTACCTAGACGTAGCTCTTACTGATGTAGTCAATAGAAGCCGTGATGCACCAGTGGCGCGCAAAGCTCAAGCATTTCCTCATCCTCTCGAGTGCCGGCAAACCTATATACAGCCGACACGGTGACGACCAGCTCATCACAAACTACATCGGCGTCGTACAGACCATCATATCCTTCTACCAATCCACAAACGATACATTGAGAGGTTTCACAGCGGGACATGTACGCTTCGTCGTCATGTCAAAGGGCCCGCTCAACCTGGTCGCCATTACACGGCTTCCAGAGAGCGACTCTCAGCTTCGGTCGCAGCTGGAAGCACTCTACATGCAGATCCTATCCACCCTTACCCTTCCTAGTATGGAGCGCATGTTTGCTGTACGCGCCAATTACGATCTCCGTAGACCGCTGCAGGGCACGGAGACGCTACTATCAGCACTTGCAGATGGCTTCACAAGAGGCTCACCATCGACATTGCTCTCCGCTCTCGAATGTCTCAAGCTTCGCAAATCCCACCGCACCACCATCAACAACACCCTCCTGAAAACCCGCTCCGAAAACCTGCTCTACGGTCTCTTGGTAGCATCCGGGAAGCTCGTGTCCGTTGTCCGACCCAAGAAACACAGTCTACACCCCGGCGACCTCCACCTGATCTTCAACATGCTCTTCGAAGCTGGCAGCGTCAAGGCTGGGGGTGGAGAAAACTGGATCCCACTATGCTTACCAGGCTTCAACAACACCGGTTACTTGTACATGTACGTCAGCTTCCTCAACCTAGAACATCCAACGGAGCAGATGCAAGAGCGACCTCGCACGAGCGACGGCGCGGACGATGAGGTCGCGGTTCTCCTGATCAGTGCGGAGAAGGAAAGCTTCTTCGAGCTTAGACGTATGAGGGATGATTTAGTCGAGGTAGGCTCACCCGGTTTCCTTACACTCCTTTACAAAGTCTCCTTAATGTCCAGGATGCCGGGATGGTACATCAGGACGCGTGGATCGTTGGTCAAGTGGTCTCTCCGTGCCGTCCCACGACGTTGTCCCGTGCCTTGAGATTATGCCATCGAACCATGTGGGCTCGCACGGAATCGGAGGGTAAAATCCCTCATTTTTCGGCCTTCTCTCATGGGTTCTTATGGGGTTATTCCCGTATACTATATTGTACATCTGCCGTACAAGGCTCACGGGCCACCGTTGCCATTCGGCTTCGGACGTGAACAGCTCCGATGCTCCTTGTCGTACCTCCGCCTCGGGTTCCGTGTCTCCCCTACCTTTCGCCCCGTTCTCACATCCCCTCGGCCTTTCGGCCGTACCGCTCGTCTGGTTCGTGTTCGACCAGGATTACCTGAGAGTAGAGAGACGCACAGAGAATCGCACTAGTTAGATGTATTTTTTTTTTGCTAACGGGTATTTCCGCAGAACTTGCAGCGCAATGGATCCATTGAGGCTATACGTACAGCGGTCCAGCAAGGGCGTCCCACTTGCACGGATATCGTGCCCGGGAGTCCGTTGAGACACTTTCTATACAAGTCAAGGGGTAACGTGCAGTTTACCATGCCGTGTTACACACCGTATTTTGAAGGTGACTTGGAAAGGAGACGGTATGTGGCTCTTTGTATCCATGATCTTACCATTCTTTTCCCCTTGGCACTATCCCGCTTTGCATGATTCGTTTTCGTCATGTACTATCACCAAGACGCCTTGCTAATACTCATCTTTTGTCTAGATTGATCAACCTCTACAGCAAACTCCATAGTAACGTGCACAACAAGCCATCAACGCTCAAGGTGCATCACGAGACGAACACGACGTGTATAGCATTGGCGTGGAGTACACCGCTGTTTGAATTATATGCTGTTGCACCGGCCAATACATCAAGGGCTGCGCTGGCGCAGAGTGCGAATAAAGTCATTCAGTGGGTGCGACGAGAAGAAGAGAGGGTATTCATTATAGGAGGCGCTGTATTCTAATAGATGATCCATGCAAGGTAAGAAGAACCACGGTGCTATAATGCCCATCAATGCAAGAAATCATAAGAGTGTGTGTAATACACATTGTGTCATTCTTCTTATCGTACCTGTGGTTCGAACAACCATCTTAGCTAAGCTTTTGGCAAGACACCGGCTCCCTTCATTTGCTCAAACACATCTTTCAAACTCGCCCACGTATCCCTATACCCTGTCCAACCGCACTCCCTCGCCTTACTCATACTAATCACCAGATCGAAACTGCGTCCCAACACGAAGCCCAGGAAAGCCCAAGTCGCTTTGTCGAAGATGTCCTTATCCAGGCCTTTGCGCTTGGCAAAGCTTTCCCACGCACCCTTGACATCAGCACGTTGCGACCACTTGACCAGATCAATTTGCTGCTCCACAACACTCTTCTGCAGTACCGGCGTTCCCTGAATGCCAATCTCGTTTGCTACCACACTAATGGGGGGTTCGGGCGCCATATCCGTGGCACTCGACATGTCCCCACCGCTACTATGTGCACCCTCGAACTGATTGCGTTTGACGCTGCCACCAAAATACTCGACGACTTTAGGCCAAAGGTTCTGCCAGCTCTCCACATCACCGTTGACGACGTTGAAAGCCTGGTTTGCAGCGCGTGGCTCGAGAGCAGCCCAGTTACAGAACTCAGCGTGGAGTTTGGAAGATGTGAAGGAATCGAATTTTGTGTAAAATGCAGGGGAACCAGGGAAAGTAAGGCCATCATTACCAGAGAGTTCCTTGGATACGAGGGCGTAGAGAGCGATGGCAGTGGAAAGATTCATAAAGTTTCCCATGGCAAAGCCAATGACGTCGTTGGGATAAGTCGCAACCCATTCTTTAGAATGTTTCTTGCAGAAGTCGTGCAGGATATTTTGCTGGTTATAATAAAAGTTTGGGGGCCACTTGGATGTATCAGTGAGCCAGGGAGCATCTTCTGTCATGGGCTGTTTAGGCATTCCCAAGTGGACACCGTATTGCTTTGCGCCACATACTAGGATGATTCGCTTGACATCTGAGATTGCCCCCGTCTTTTCAAGGGCGGACAGGAAGTTGGACAGCATGTGGCCGTTGACTTCCCAAGCGTCGTCTTCCTTGTCTTGAGCCAGGTAGGCGGCAAAGAAGATGTACTCTCCGCGTACACTTTTGAGGTCATTGGCCATGTCATCAGGAGAGGACTGTAGGTCGATGTGATTGTGGATGACGTTGGCGGAATAGTCTTCCTTCTTACTGCGGGAAAGGGCATGAATGGTCGGCCATTGTTGGCGGTGTTGGCTGAGTTCTGAGACAATCTCACGGCCCAGGATGCCTGGGTTCGTTAGTTCAGAAATCGATGAAGCGAGAGTGATAAGTACCAGTGGCGCCGGTTACTATTGCAGAGGGCATTTTGCAGCGTGGCTGTTGTATGTCTTGGTTGTTGTCTAAGTAGACGCTGGAAGAGGTACTGCTATAAGAGGGCGACTGTGACCATGCATGACGTAAGGATGCTTTCATGGAGGTATGTCACAACCCAACCTCATGGATAAGCGTCCACCTGGTAAGATAGTAGATCTGAAATGGTGATGCGTCTCCGGCTAGTCCATTCGAGGACTTGCATCAATGCGGTAATGTGTCAGTCACAAATGTGTACCGTAATCGCGGGATCCAATCGTCATGGAGGGTGCTCGGTGGATGCTTGGTAGATACTTTGCAGCTACCCGAGTCGGCTGGGGATATTTTTATTGTGAAGAAAGCGCTACGAAATTTGATTGGCGTCGCCGGATTAGAGTACATGACGGTAGCAGAATACCATGATCAACGCAGGACTACATGAACCCACGAACTCAACGTTCACATATTCAGTGCCTCAACCCCCAAACGGATGTTGTTTCCTTTTGCCGTGTGTTTCGGTACAGCCCGCAGCTCTCTTGTCGGGCTAGAACAAAGTGAAGCCAATACGACCTAGCAGGAAATGTAGTGAATGAAGAGCACTGCATGCTCAGCCCACCCAGCTCTCACATGGATTTGCGTGTCTGGCAGACGTGCTTTCCAGCCCTCTAGTGTCCTTGTTCCTCGAAGGCGCCCCATGGTTTACATGTTTCGTGGGTGGCGCTTGCCGCAGAACGTTTGGCCGTTGTGTTCCCATGTCATGCCTGACAGTTGCCACGTGGCGCGGGTATGCAACGTAACCGTCATGCGTTTCGTATGTGTGGATGAATTGAGTGGAGAGGGCGACGTGAACCGAAGGCGCTTTCACTTGGGAGGACGCTTTTGCCATGTGAGCTCCCGGAATTGATTCTTGACCTCATCCTTGAAGTGGTCAAGCGATGATGGGCCCGTGCCTACAGTGTGTTAGCAGCCGCAGTTTTGATCCGATGGGACAAAGACATACGGCCTTGGCCATTCTTCTGCTCAAAGTCTGGCAGCCTGTTGATCTTTCGATAGGCCTTTTGCACGGCGCGATTGAATCCCGGGGATCGGATGAGCTTGGAAGAGTCAGCAACTGGAGCGGTGTGTGGCAGCAAAGGGATTATCGACGTGCCTTTGCGACGGCCCAAGCCTGTTCCGAGCTGTCAGTTTGATATGTCTGTTTCGTTTGGACATGGCACATACCTCGAAGAGTGCGAACCAAGGTGCAACCATGGCGTATTCAATGTGACATTCACAGATGGCAGGCGTTGGGTTTGTTGGCCGAGGGAGGATAGTGGCGACGGCGTGCGATGGACAGGGAATAGGCCTGCCAGCAATTGTGACACGACGACGGCGCCTGACGTTTGGAAGTGGATCCCCGCTCCAGCAATTGTTTCCTCTACTGTGCTACAAAGTGCTGCGCTCCAGACATGACATGTATATCACTTGGCCCACGGCTACATTTCTCCATGCGTCGCTGACACCCCCGCCAGCAGCTCCACTTGGCTCGACCTGGTTCTTGGACACTACACTACTACCATCGCAGCAGACATCGACCTAGGGAGGCCCCGGACCCCCACGAGTAGTCGCACACGTGTCAGTGGAGGCATAACATCTGCCGCACTCCACTCTCCAGCCTATCTTTCCTTTCTTGGGCGCGCCACGACCTGCACCTAACCGTCGCCCGTCACCATTCCGTCTTCAAACTTTGCTGTCCCTCCATTGCCAGAAGCCGAATCATCCCACCACATCGCCGCAAACTTGTTCAAACTGCATAAACTCCGCGCCCTCCGGCGCAAGGCGAAGCTCAAGGGCGTCCTCGTCAGGACCGACCCAGCCATGGCCACGGCCGGCGTTCCCATTTCCCCCTCGTCGTCCAAGCGCTCCCGTAGCAAGGACAGCACGCGATCAGTCACCACCTCGTCCCTCAACACGCCCGCCGCCAACACGCCCTCTGCAAGCACCAGCAGTCTCGTCATCAACTCGTCCGTCACAAGCACCCCACCCACAGGCCATGCACATGGCCACGATGCTGTTCCGTATCCCGCCTTCCTCACGTCGCCCAAGGACATTCACACCAAATGGAATCGCTTGGAGATGGCCCAGGTGGAGCGCCTGAGGGACAGCGCCCAGGCCGGTGCTTCGGAAGAGGCTCCCAAGTGGGCGAGGTGCTTCGGCGAGGATTATGCCAACCGGAATCGCTACATCAACGTTGACCCATACCAATCCAACAGAGTCCACCTTGAGGTACCAGACGGCCATTTCGACTACATCAATGCCTCGCCCATAGTGCTCGAGACGACAAAGTCTGCGACCGAGCTCAAGTACATTGCAACACAAGGACCCAAAGCTGACAGCTGGTCGCACATCTGGCGCATGATCTGGAAGGAGAACCAGTCGCCCGCAGTCATTGTAATGCTGACCCAGACCCACGAGGCGAACCGAGAGAAATGCTACCCCTACTACCCGCAATCCTTGTCCAATCCAGATATGCGCATCAACGAGCACGACGAGTTTCAAGACGGCTTCATACACAATCTCCACTTGGCCTCGTACACGACAGACCAAGAGGCTAGGACACAAGTAAGGGAAATCGACATGACAACAGATGATGGCAGTGAGTCGAAAAAAATCTGGCATCTGCTCTTTGCTGGCTGGCCTGATTTCTCCGTGCCTGAAGGCGACGATCGCGCTGGTATGCTGAAGCTAGTGGATATATCGCGGTCCAAGAACACGGACAATTCGACCAACCCACGAATCGTTCACTGCAGTGCAGGTATCGGCCGCAGCGGAACCTTTATTGCGCTCGATTGGCTCATGCAGGAGCTCCAAGAGGGCGCATTGGACCATGTACCTGACGACGAAGATCCCATATTAAAGGTTGTCGAGATGCTCAGAGACCAGCGAGCTGGTATGGTTCAGTCCAAGGTTCAGTTTCTCTTCATCTACGATGTCCTCCGTGAGCAATGGTGCGAACGGTGGATCTCTCAGCATCCGGACGAAGCAAACCGACTCGGGCTCGCCACTGCAGCAGCTCCTTCTGAAGGTGTAGAAATTACTTCTGACAATGAGCAACCTGCACTCAAGCGCCAGAAATCGATACACAATAGCGAAGCCGCCGAGAGCCTCCAGCTCCCACTACTAGCATCACGACCGTCGAGTTCACGGGGCGCTTCGAGTTCACCAGCGCCAGACGCACGCGCACAGTTAGAGGCTGAACTTCAGGAGGCCGACCTGGAGTACGAGAAGGGCAAGACTTAGTGGTTTTTACCAAGACCTCGTCGGACGCACATCAAGGTGTCATCATGGATTTCATCTTCAGTCGTCCATTCATATCATACCTTCGATATTGTCCCGCCTTTTGATCCTGGCACTCCGCCTATGATCGTGGTTACTGGCGTGGACAGCGATATTGAGCAGCAGGACGGTGCTGTCGATCTTGAAGCAAACGATCAACCCCCTGCTTACAGTCGCGCACCCCCTGAAATCACCTCGCTAGATTCACGTCCTGTTTTCGCGTACGTATGCGGCCCTCAACATATCGTTTTGTTGACAATGGGTATTATTTCGGTCTTGGTTGTTGGCTTTATGTTTGTGTACTGGGATGCTCTAGATAGAGTTTAATTGTGTATGTTTTTTTTTCATGTAGGGAAGCGGGAAGCATAGCGTTGCGAAATACCCCTTGAATTGGGTCGGTTTGGTTTCGGTCACTGCGGCGGTAAGCAAAGCGAAAGCAATTTAGCCTACATTTCGCCTTCATTATGGGTAATTTCAGACTCCCATTGTCCGCTGTCTTTTTGGTCTCTGTATTCGTCTTTGGTCAGTGATGCTGTTCTCATTCGCCTGCTGCTTAGCACTACTAACAAGTTCACGTTTTCTCATATACCTCAATCCAAAGAACACCCTAAAGATATTTTTTAGAACTACAGGTGAGAGACCTGAATAACATAGACATTGGTATGCCCTAGAGTATGTTTTTGAATACTCCGTGTCGAACGGGGTAACTACCTATACCTGTCTTCTTACGAAACACAACTACGGTCAAACATTAGGGCTTACTTGCTCGACTGGCTCCCAACGTCGCTCCGCTCCCGGAAATCTAGACTCCCGGACAAAGATCTACCATGTTCAGTCAACAGGATTGCCCAAGAAATGCTGATGTATTGTAAAGCATGCACATGTACCCGGTACAGTATCCACATTACCCCGGATTACTATCTCGCATTCCCACTCCAATGTTTTCTTAGTAAGGACCACGGAATAGTTCCGTGTCGGACTCCCCGTTGCTTGCTCAGCTTCATGACTCATGCTGGCTCGCAGGTAGATGAGCTGCTTTGTGGAACAACCTGCTCATCGAATATACTTGCGTCCGTCCGCTTTCTACACAGAACAATCCGTGTCGTAAAGGCAGTCGCTGGACTGCACATCCATTTGCGGAACGACAAGACACTGTGAGTAACGCTAGAGTGTGCCGTGGCGTTGGGCTAGATGAGAAATGGACCTTAGTATTCAAGACGTGGATCTCTTTCAGCTCGAGTCGCCTCAAGTAGCTGATACACGCCACTCCAATTAACCTTACATACTGACCGACTGGCTAACTCACCAGCTGCCCATTCGTCTACCTATCTACGCGTCCTACTACTAAGCAGCCACAAGATTGCTGTTTCGCACCTCCAGCCATGTCATCAATTCCATACAGCCATCTCACCCTCCAAAAGACTAGCAGTCAGGACGTGTCATCTTGCTCTACAGTGGAGCGACTTGGCGAAAGATGATGACCTCGACTTGGATTCAGGTTGCTGTCTGTCTCGCTTATCGTGAGTTGTTCATGGCTGATTGGTTCGCGTTGTTTCTTGCGGGAAGTGCACGATCGGTGTGGGGAGCGGGCGCATGTAAGCTTACTTGCGCGGGGTTTTCAAGAGTTTCTGGGTCTGAGCATGTACTGCATGTTGTTTGATATGATATCGTTGGTTTGAAGGCTATGCTTTGCTGGAATATGCTGTCGTCTTGATTTCCATGCCTGTGGGCATGATGATGTGCTAGTGCCGGGCTAAGATGAAGGGGAAACTTTTTCGGCGGACCCAAATTGATATTCGGCTGACCCCAAAAAGATCAGATGAGATGAAAGATCGGATGACCCAAATTGAGCCGTGAGTGAGCCGTAAGAAACACCTACTACGATTAACACCTTAAAAAATTATTACCTAATTAGGCAAATACCTAGTAAAAGATTGCTTCTATCCGATCTTTCTTAGTAAAGGATAGCTTTTATCTGATCTTTTTTAGGGGAGGTAAAGATTCCTGTACGTTCTAGGTAGCGGTTTGCTTTCATCTCATAATCTAGGGGTAATATTTTAGGTACCTAGTTGCTTCCATCTAATCTTAGATCTCTATTTAGCCGATTGCTTTCATCTCATCTAATCTTTTTGGGGTCAGCCGAATATCAATTTGGGTCCGCCGAAAAAGTTTCCCCAAGATGAAGTGTTATAAAATACATAAATCTCTATTGCTGCTCCGTGCTTCTCGATTTAGGTGTGCAGAATTCTTGGGCACTCTATGTCCTATCATCGTATCGTTTCCAATACACGGATGCACATTTGATGCACGTCTTGCGAATAGTGCCAAGTTTCGCCGCTCTATCTGATTCACATCTTACCTCAGCGTTTGCACATTGAAAAACATAGTTTTGACTGCATGCCTTTTGAAACCAGGCTCCCAGTGCGAAGTGGAGCTTTACTGCTGAGGCGGGATTTTAGTCTAGGTCATCGTCGGGGATAAGTTCCCGTAGTGGCGAGCTCAGAAATGGGGGTTGTGACGTTATCTTGACTCTAGGAGTAAGGATCATTTTCACTACCTAGTCGCACATCGTCAAGCGGCAGTCGTTGGAGGAAAGATCTGCCACAGGCCAGATGAACGTCGTAATCCTTTGCTTTATTGGGGAGCGGTGTCAAAGCCGCGAAGTAAGGGCTGATTGATGATCGTAAAGAGGCGATACTTGAGCACGTGGTGCGTGGTAGTGGCTGGAGATCGAGAGTATCGAGACGTTTTGTAGAGATCGATGAGATGACATCCCGAAAGATGCGACATGAGGCCGATACTCATCGGACTACGTTGGTGATCGACAGATTGACACGACGTTTGAGTTGGTCAGGGGGACCGTATCACAGGCTATGTTCCTTGAATACAGACATTAAGATTCAGCCGCATCTGTATATCGATGTTCTGTGATAGCCGTTTAACAACACTAACAATTGCTGATTCGCTGTGGCCACCAAACCCGGGTGGAAGTTTGGACCGCTGCGGCGGGGCATCTCCTCCTTCGCTTCGCATGAATACTCACCAAGAACGAACATGGGTCCAAATGGGGCAATACAACCTTGTCATCATTGCCCAAAAGCTCCAGGTGCGCTTATAGCCGACCCCGTTTCGGCCTGTCTTGAACACACGGTGACGTTACTGAAAATCCTGCTTGTGCAGAACTTCCACCTGCAGCATGCCGTTCATGTTACGAAGACATTATAATGGTCACAGGTGATAAGGTGCAAGCGAAAGCTGTGTAGTGCCGCTGAGAAGTCTAAGCAAGGTTGTCCAGCCGTTCTTGGTGGCTTTCTTTGCGCAGATGTTGAAGGCTGTAGCTGGGGTACCACATGGGTGCTGACCAGCCGCATGTAAAGCCGTCGCACAAGGACCGTTCGATACAGATGTCTCTTGGATGTTCAAAGTGGTGCGGTACGAGTGGCTCGTCGCCGTTCTGTTTACCGCACGCTCGCGATAACGAAGGTGGCGTATTGCGCACATTGAGAATTCGCTGCAATGGGAGAGACCTAGTGGTGGGTTACGATAAGCATCGATCAGGCTGTTACCAGCAGCAAGGTAGTGGGGGTCGCATCCCTTCCTGATATGAAGACGCACGTGTCGCATGTGAAGCTTCTTCCCTCACACGCTGCCAACTAATATCTCTTTCTGACCAGGCAGTCTGGAGTACAGGTATTGGTGATTGTAAGTATGCAATAGCACCAACGACACCATGCATTGACACCAGTGGCCTTCTCAGTATAAAATTGTTTCTAGATAAGTTGTGGTCCATGAATGGGTAAAGATTTTGTGGGGACGGGCGGGCATCCAGAGGTATTTCGAAGCAAACAGATACGGGCGTATGGACGCCAATTGCCCCGTCCCGCACGTCGATCTCGGACAGTCATGTTCGTCTAAGAAATAAGAGTGTCGGAAGGGCCGAATACTCGTGTGCGACAAGCCGAAACTAAGTTATTTCGAACAACGTTCGTACGATCGCTGACTTTGTCATCGAAGGAATGCTCCATTCTTGGACCCGCTGGTCGTCAAGATCGTGACTGATTGTTGACCTACCGTGGCAGGTTTGCCGTGTTCTCTCACAGAGAGACTTTGTGCTAGTCGGAATGATAAGAAAGGAAGGGCGATGGCGTATGTGAAAGCGATGTACAACAACGTCATAATTGAAGCTCAGAACTGAACGCAGGTGGCTGACACAAAGACGCGCACTCATGAAACGAGTCTCGACCATCGCGATCATGGTTCAAGTGGGGATGCTGTTCGCACTCGGCGAAACCAGTGAGCTGGCGCTTGGAGCTGGGGTTCCCCATCCAGTTGTGGATATGCTGTAAACGGGTCGATCATGATCACCAGGTCCCTCGCGGTCGCGTTACGGATATTGCCGACAAGTAATTCCTGCAATTATTCGTGATGCTGTCACATGGATGATGCATGCTACAAAAGTCGGTATGTTGATGCCGTCAAGTGCGATGAGACGCGTTGTGCTATGCAGAGGGTCTGAGCACCATCTGAAGACAGGAGGTTCCTCCAGAGCCCGACTTGCGGCCGAAGGAGTTATCAACATGGCTTCAGTTTTGTCGTTGATGGTGTACGGCTTTCGCGTCGACTTTCCCCTCCAGGCTCATTCCAGGGCCGCAGCGCGATGTTCTTAGTAAACGCCCCTTGTTCGAGACCTCAACAACGTGGCTTTCGTGCACTTGGAATGCGCTGTGACGTGGGTGGATATGCCGCAGGGCTAAGTATTGAAGCTTTCAGCCTTAAATTGTGTGATGGGGCCTAAGTGGGAACGCTTTGGTGATTCGCCTCATTGCTATTCCTGTCTATGAGGCTCAACTCGACCTTGGCTGGTCTAAACAGAACGATTGGCAAATTTTCGCCAACCAGGATGCACCGCAATAATCGGCTTATTACTGACATCGGAAGAAAACCCACAGCGAGCCAGCCATCTG